GACGATCACAGGGGAGGCGTTTCAGTGCTATGCGGAGCACGGCGCTTCGGTTCAGCAGCTGAAGACTTCCAATGCGAGGCCTCTACAGTTTAGGGCTTAGGGCTTAGGGTTTAGGGCTTAGGGTTTATAGGGTTTAGGGCTTAGGGTGTAGGATTTAGGGTTTAGGGTTTAGGGTTTAGGGCTTAGCTCAAAGTTCAGGGTTAAGTACGAGGTTTAATTAGGTTTTTCGGTGCTATGTGCCAAACCCTAAACCCGAAACCCTAAACCGAAGTTATGGGGTCGTGGAGTTCGGGGGGTTTAAGCTGACGATTTAGCATTCAAATCTGCGGGTTAACACCGCCCCTGCAGGCTCAAAAGATATGATACCCAGAGGGTCCATATATACTACCAGTATGGAATTAGGTCCCAAAAGACCATCCCTATTATGGCGTTGGGGGCCTAATTCCATAATGGTAGTATATATTGACGCTCTAGGATAGGATATAGTTTGAAGTACCATATCTTACTTGTTTCGTAGGTCCTTGTTATGAAAGAACTATATCGTATGTGATCGCATATACCTTGAACCACCATGACCTACTCTTTTCGTAGCTTTTTGTTATAAACCTACAGTAACAACTCGTCAGAAGTTGCTTGCTTTGCATCAATCCTTAAACGTGCTCCTTCAATACAGGTTGGTGGACTCACAACCACCCGTGGTTCTCCGACCACCCAGCCGCGGCGAGAAGAGATATCTGGTCAACCACGACAATCTCCAACTTCCGTATCTTTGGTGTCCGGACTTCAAGCAGGCCGCGTGGCAAAGCACCACTCATCCGCGACATGCTCTTGTGCATCGTTTCTCGATCTTCTCTGAGGAAGGAGACGCCTTTTCTTCGCATCAGCTGATGGTTGGACGGCAATTTGGGTGGTTGTCAAAATTAGGGTCCCTTTTTGGGTCCATATTATAGTACGGCACCTAATATTTAGGGTACCCAAAAAGGGACCCTAATTTTGACAACCACCCATTTAGCAGTGCTCTCGCATCGAGATTCGATGCACAAGTTGCATCGGGAGGAGGCCCTGTCTTCGGCAGCTGTCCCGGCGATCCAGCTCGCCAAACAGTTGGGACCGTAGAAAGATGGATCCCAGAGACTCCAATGTCCCTTAATTTCGGAATATACTTTAAATTATGGTAGGATCCTTAATATGATTTAAGGTATAACCCTTAATTAAGGGATATTGGCGTCTCTGGGAAGGTACTTGCAGATACTGCAGGTCCACGGTATATGCCATACAAGTAACTGGACATTTCGAGTGGCTCCGTCCTAAACCCCTCACTACCCTAGGGCTCCATAGTAGTTCCTTTTTGTGATTCATAGTTAGAATCCTATGTGGCAATCCCAAGAAGGAACTACTATGGAGCCTATGGATAGATAGTATTCAGAAATCCCCTTAGCCCCAAACCCTATAAATCCCTTATGGATCCCTTAGGAACCCTATAGATCCCTGGTAAGCTGGACATTTAGGGTGGCTTCATGGGCGCAGGTTTCGGTATCAGCCGCCTTACAGGGCGGGTCTTATGGGCTCGGTGTTTGGGATTTACCTGAACTCTACAAACCTCGCCTTATGAGGTCCCTCGCTATGATCTCCTTGCGTGCATATAGAAACATTGGTAACGTACAGATACATACATACATATATATATATATATGTATATGTACATCTTTATTATGTACAGGCGTCTGTTGTTTGAAAGTAGCCTCCCTGAGCCCTAAACCCCTAAACCATGGAAAGACTCCAGGCTTTCGGGTTTTAGGGTTTAGTGTTCAGGGGTTGGGGTCTAAGGTTTACATGGATCCCAAATAACATACCTTTTTGGGCTTCCCTAATCTGGTTTCTTTTGCATACGTCGTTTTTTCCGGTTAAAGTAGGGATTACACCAAAGCGATACGTTGGAAACCACTTAAACCGACTGCAGCAAAGCAAAGGCATGCGGTAATTTGGCGCAAACGTCAGGCCATGCTACCGCACAGTGCTGAGCCCCTGAACTCTAAACCCTAAGCCCAAAACCCTAAACCCCAGCCCCGTAACACCCACATCCCGAGCCCGAAACCGTTCAGCCAGGCAAGTCGGCGTCCCCGCCATGTGCCAACGGCTTCTCTTGCACAACGTCCCAAAGTTGCTAGGCAGGCCAAGGGGATGGTTTGGGTTTAGGGTTTAGGCTTTAGGGTTTAGGGTTTAGGGGTTAGGGTTTAGGGTTTAGGGTTTAGGGCTTAGGGTTTAGGGCTTAGGGTTTAGGGTTTAGGGTTTTGTTTTGGTTCACCCTGGTCGGGTTAAGGTTTCAGGAGCATGGTTCAGAGGCTCTAGTGTAAGTGTAAGGGTCCTAATTTGAAACGCTTCGCGTCGTCCGCCTCGGCCCGGCTTTTCGCGCATGCGGCGACTGGCTACCATCCGGCGCAGCAGGAAGCTCTTGTACGAAAATAACAACAGTTGGAATCGCACTTGTATTAATTGTAGGGCAGGGCAAAGCAGGGCAGAGCAGCGTAAGGCAGAGGGCTTGTCTCAAGAAGCCAGCAAGAGGTTGGTGTAACCATTGTAGCATCTCCGCGTTCTGTGCCTGATATTCGACATAGCCCCTAGCTGGCGATAGCGATGCTTGAATCTCCGATGCTATGAGAAGGTTAGGTCGTGGAGCCGCGTGCTGTGCTGCCCAAAGCAACGCTATTTCCGAACTTTGCCTGGAGGGGGGCAGGGGGGAGCGGGGGGGGGGGGGGGGGGGGGGGGGGGGGGGGGGGGGGGGGGGGGGGGGGGGGGGGGGGGGGGGGGGCGGGGGGGGGGGGAGGGGGCGGGGGGTAGGAAATTGGGTGGGATTTTGAGGCTAATCCACACGTTTCCATTTTTTAGGGGGGGGGTCCAGTGGCCCCCGTTTTCACTGGCGAGGGGATGAAGAGGTGGGGAATAGAGGGAATCCGAATAGAGGCCCCTGCGAAAGGAACCCTATTCTTATTAGTTTGGGCCCACCTAGGCTGCCAGTCCTTCAAGAGATGCTGGTGCACTTTGCTGACGGGGCGCTCAGGGCCGTGGATGGCCTCGACAAGAAGGACACTGCTGGCCCTAAACCTTAAACCTTAGAAGCTGCCCCCACCCTGTAATAGTGGTATAGTAGGAATATAATAGGGCCTTAATATAATCCTATATAATCCTTATCGTCACTATTACAGGGTGGGGGCCCCTTCTAAACCTTAAACCCCTAAACCCCAGGGTTCAGGGTTTACGGTATACCTATATGGGTTTATCTGTGGTCTCCATTATAGTTCCTGTTTTGCCAAAACAGTAGCTCCTTTTTGCCACAAAAGGAACGACAATGGAGGCTGTAGGTAGGGTCTAGGGTTGAGGGGATGTAGGGATCTCGTCGGCCCGAGGATGATTCGTCTACTCCTGTCCGGCCTCATGCTGCTTCCATTTTCGGTGTTCTGCTTCGGGCTATTTCGAGGTGTATTTCAAGAGCCAGGCAGCTGCTGCTGCTGCTGCTAACTAGTACTGCTACAGCTACTGCTAAGGCTACGATGCCCGAAGCCGTGCCCTGCAGGACATCACTTCCCTGAAGGGCGCCTTTGCATGCATTTAGGCAACCACCCTAAACCCTCAACCCTAGACCCTGAACCCTAAACCCCTAAACTGGTAGCCCGGAGTCCTTTCGCTTTACGCCACAAAGGCGTACGCTTCAGCGCTCGTGTCCAGGGAGCTGTCCTGGAGACCGGAGATCGTGTCCTTAAGATTGGTACTGAGAGCAGCCCTCAAAATAGGGTGTAGGCTGTCATACTGCATGGCATGTCAACAAAGAATGAAAAACAACGCAACGCCATCAACAACAACAACAAAAGCACCAACATCTACGCGGACATGGACACCGGCACCAACCTGGCCACCGGCACCGTCCCCACTAGACAGCAACAATAACACCAGCAGCTGCAGCAGCAGCGGCTGCAACACCACCACCACCACCACCACCACCACCACCACCACCACCACCACCACCACCACCACCACCACCACCACCACCACCACCACTTCTGCCAGTACCACTACTGCCACTACTGCTACTACTACTACTACTACTACTACTACGACGGCTAAGTTACTACTACTACTACTACTACTACTACTACTACTACTACTACTACTACTACTACTACTACTACACCCACTCCTAGTCCTACTCCTCCTACTCCTACTACTCCTACTCTTCCTACCTCCTACTCCTACTCCTACTCCTACTCCTACTCCTCCTACTACCACTACGACTACAAGTACTGGTACTAGTGCTAGTACCTGTTCTGTCAGTACTCGTACTACTGGTACGAGTACGAGTACTAGTACTAGTAGGACTACTAGTAGTACTACTACAACCATTCTCACTGCCAATACATACGTACTTCTAGTACCACTACTACTACTACTACTACTACTACTACTACTACTACTACTACTACTACTACTACTACTGCTACTGCTACTGCTACTGCTACTGCTACTGCTACTGCTACTGCTACTGCTACTACTACTACTACTACTACTACCACTACCGCTGCCACTGCCACTGCCACTACCACTACCACTATCGCTACCGCTACTAGTGCAGCAGCAGCAAGACCCGCAACGAGGGCAACAATCTCAAAGACACCACACCCTGCGCTCTGAAACTTGAAGCCCTCAGCTCAAGACCTAACGCCAAACCTGGTGTACCAAGCTGATGAGCCCAGACTTTCCAAAATCCCTCAATCAAGGAATATACCTTAACTTATACTAGGATCCTTAATATCATTTAAGGGATATTCCTTAATTATGGGATTTTGGAAGGTTTGAGAGGAGTCTCTTGGTCAAGAGTTCTCACGATAGGAGAATCCGTAGAAGAGACTTTGCAAGAACGCGATTTCGTAATCGGTTTCCTACAGTAACCCTGAATCCCAGGTGTATCTAGACCTCCACAAGACGCTGTGGAAGTCTTAAATGTCGCCATGGTTCTGCTTGCGACCAGCTCGAACAAGAGGATTGCAGAGCGTGTCTTGGTTTGAGGTGCGGGCTTGCTGGGGTCCCATAGGCAACGTGTAGGCTTGGGATTGCCTTTCATTCACCTTGTCTTGTATGTAGAGGAGGGGTCATGTGGTGTCAGAGGTTTAGACAGTTTTGCCCTCAGATTCATGAGGGTTTAGGCTTACAGTTGAAGCCAGAAATTTGGAACATGGCTTTAGGAGGATTAGTGCTAGGTTCCCTCATAGTTTACCTTAAGGGCATAAGGAGTCTAATGTTCCAACTTTCTGGCTTCTGCTATAGGGTTGATTGATTTTCGCGTTCATGGTGTGTGTGTGTGTAGATTCCTACCCTAAGGCTCAAAATAGCCCAAAAGCCTCACATAGTATGGTCTTTGGGCCCAAAAGCCTTAAAATGTGAGTCCTTAGAGCCTAAGGGCTACTGAGACTCTGTTATTGAATTTTTGGAGTTCAACCTTAGCACGACAACCCTGGACCCAACAGCCGAAACCCCCACATCCTAAGCCCTACCACTGACTAAACACCCTAACCCCAAACCCCTAAAACTCCTGAAAGGTTCAAGGGGTGCAGTAAGTAGGATCCCTCGATCCGGCCATAGGTATAGTGTAGGTGCAGTGCCGTGAACCTACCAAGCCCGTATGACACCTTGCGGACACCGAGCTTGAGCAGCGTATAGCACGAACAAACTGTGACGATCCGAATCTTGCCAAAAATCCGGAGGCACTTAGAGGCTTGGGCAGGAAAGCCAAATCCTGAACCTTGATCCCGAAGACCAGATCACAAGAAGAGAAGTAACCTGAACACGAAGAGCGACAAGTAGTAGTAGTAGTAGTAGTAGTAGTAGTAGTAGTAGTAGTAGTAGTAGTAGTAGTAGTAGTAGTAGTAGTAGTAGTAATAGTAGTAGTAGTAGTAGCACCACACATGCTCGTAGGAGGCCTGGTGTTTTCATGCGTTTTGGAGCCATCTTACACGGTAGGGGCGGGTTTTTTAGGGGATGGGGGGTGGCGGGGGATGATAGCGTTCATGTTATTGCCTTTGGTGAGTATGCACAAAACACCGGTATTTACGCCACTGTTGCTTCTAAGCGCGTTTTTTTGGAGCCATCTTTCACAGTCTGACAGTAGGGGCTGGATTTTGGAGGTTTGGGGGGTGGTGGGGATGATAACGTTCATGTTATTGCCTTTGGCGAGCATGCACAAAACACCGGTACTTACCACGTCTGCTTCTACGTTTTTTCGGAGCCATGTTGCACGCTAGGAGCGGGATTTTGGGGGCGTGCGGGGTGGGGGTGATGATAGCGTGAATGTTATTGCCTTTGGCGAGCAGATCATGCCCAACACACTGGTATTTACAGCATTTTTGCTCTTTGTACAACGTAATGACTGCACAAGGATGTGGAGCAAGACACGTTGTCACAAGCATCCACGTACAACATATCGCGCAAGGATGTGGAGCAAACCAAGTTCAAATTTGTCGCAAGCATCTATGCTTTTGGCGAGCATGCCCAAAACACCGGTATTTACGTCGTTGTTGCCTCTTCGTACAGCATACTGTGCACGTAGTTTTTTCCCTTTGCGTAAAACGCCCGAAGATTGCGTTCTGATTGAAACCCATGAAAAACACCAGGCCTTCTACGAGCGCTCGATTGGCAGTTTCTTCCCCCTCGAGTTTGCAATCCAGTTGCTGTTTCAGTTTTGGGGCCTGAGCGTCTGCAACTTCGCCGGCTGTGACAGTCAAGGCAAGGGAGCCTCGGCAACTTTTGCAGCTTTCACAGATAGAGGGCCTGAGCCCCTGCGTCTTCTGCATCTGTCATGTTCGTTGATGATATGATGATGATGGGTTAAGGCGCCAGGTGGTTGGTAGGGGGGGTGGCAAGTAGCAGCAGCAGCAGCAGGAGCAGGAGCAGGAGGAGCAGCAGCAGTAGCAGCAGCAGCAGGAGCAGGAGCAGGAGCAGCAGGAGCAGCAGCAGCAGCAGGAGCAGGAGCAGGAATCCAGTAGTGATCTGCATCGTCGTAGTCGTAATCGTTGTAGTTGCGGAGGTAGCAGTGACCGTCGTAATTCGAATGCTTTACGCTGAGTAATCAAACTCCTAGCTCCCAGGGTTCCTCAAAGTTTGTTTCTGGGTTCTTCAGGGTCAGGGGGCCCAGTTATGCAGAGCCCAAAGACCTCCATCCGGCATTCTTCACCCTAAGCTGTAAATCCTCAACGAATGTGAATCCAGATCCCGACAAAAAACATCACACACAAATTCTGGTATAGATCACACGGCGAATTGAAACGGGGAAACACAAACGAAAAGGACCCTGAACCCCAAAACACATCCCGAACCCGAACCATTGAAGAACACAATGCACCATGGAGTCTTTCTTGCACCCTGGTCCAGGTACAGCCCCGTAAACTCTAGATCACAGCCAGAAAGGATCAACAATTCAGTTTATAGATAGAACCAGTAAGGCTAGATACACCCCAGGAATTGAAAGCCAAACCTGAACCATAAACCAGAGCCGTACCAAAAGCAGAAGGCTCAAAAACCAGCACTAAGGCATGAAACGCTGATACATTCCCTGTAGAACCTGCCTAAACCCTACCTTAACATCGAAGAACCTACCTTTTTAAGGATTTATATACAGAAATCATACTAGGGAACCCTGAAAAGTAGGTTCCGTAGGGTCCAGGTATACACTGAAGCTCACAGCTGGAACTCCTGGAGGGCCTTTACAAAACGTAGCCCAGGCATTGAGTGCAACAAGAAGGGGCTCCCGCGAGATTTGGGCTGGAGATCCTGTTTCTTGGCCGTTCCCTGAAAAGTGTATTTATGAGTGTTCTTTCCAAATACATAACTACAGGCATGCATACATACCTTATATATACATATACAGACAGGTGGATGGATAGGTAGGCAGGTAGGTAGACAGGAGACAGAGATGTGTGTGAATTTGCGTGTTTAATGAGTCATATAGTATATACAGAGAGAAATTCAGATAGATACATGGTGCCTCTGTCTTTAAGAAGTGGCACCGGTGGGGGGTGTGCACCACAGTATGTATGCATGTTCGTACAGATCAAAAAAATAGATATGTATACATATATACATATACACGGATATGTGTATCTACACAGATGCTTGATAGATAGACGGACAGATGGATAGGTAGGTAGGTAGATAGGTAAGACGTAGTCAAGACCTAAAACGAGATCAAGACAAACAACAACAACAACAACAACAACAACAACAACAACAACAACAACAACAACAACAAAAGCAACAACAACAACAACGCCATAAATATCTAAGGTTAACAGCAACAGCAACAGCCACATCGTATTATTCGTAGCAGCAGCATTGACCGCAATAACAGTGATTACATTAAACAGATAAACAACCGTATAAATCTGCGTATAGTGACCTCAACAACAATAGCAGTAACAACACCAATAGCAATAGCAATAACACTAGGACTAGCAACAATTCTAATTTTACCTTTTTTCAGATGCATATACAGACACACACCAAGTCAAGCCAACCCAGCCAAGGCAAACTTTGTAACAAATATCAATGAGAGCATTGAAAGCCACCCTCTGCAAAAAGCTATGCCTAGCAGACTTCCCCGTTCATATTACAGAAAGCTGCCATCTAACAACAAACCCTTATCTGATCGAAACTTCGATCTAACAGAAAACCCTTTTCAGCAGAATTATTTGAACCCCCAAGAAGGAAAAATGTCCGCCCCACGATTTAGGAAAATGCATGGGTGTGTGCATGTGTGTATATATATATATATATATGTATGCGACTCATTGCCCGAAACACGAGATATATGTATGTATATGCATAAATAATGAGGTTGGCAATGGTTCTTTTCTTCCTTGTAGCAAGTTTTCGGCAGCCTATTCTAGGGCAGATTAGCGTGTTCAACGGTTTCGTGGGGCTTTGGAAGTTCAAGAGCGGCTTCGGGCTACGGGTTCTTCAATGGTTCGAGTTTAGGGTTTAGGGTGTAGGTTGGATACTGCCCCCACTCAGTAACAGTTGGATAATATTCATAATATAGCTATATTAGGCCCTTAATAGTAGCCCTATTATAGACTGTTACTGTATGGGGGCAGTATCCAAGGTGTAGGGTTTAAGGTTTAGGGTTTAGGGTTTAGGGTTGCGGGAGTTCTCGGCTTGCGAGCCCCGAACTTTGATTCCCCAAGGGCCCATGTACCCAAATAGTATATACTATGGGCCCGATGTGCCTATATATAGGGAGTACTTTAAGGTCCAAAGCATATACTATTTCCTTAAGGGTCCAAAGATGTCCAAAGGACCCAATAGTTAGGTACTCTGTTTGAGGATAGTCGTTATGTAGGTTAATATTTTGGAGAGTATATGATAATTAGGTACTTGGACCCTTACCCTAAACCCCAAACCCTAAACCGTAGGGTTTGGGTATATGGACCCTTCGGGATGGTTCCCACAAGAAAGACGAGCCATCAATGGCGTCGCACACGAAGCTCTCATCTTCGAAAGCGATGCACACTCTGTCTTCCCTTGACCTCCATCAGGGTTTAGGGTTTAGGGTTTGTCCCTTGACCTCCATTAGGGTTTTAGGGTTTCGGGTTTTCCCCTTGACCTCCGGTCCAGGTCTCATCCCCGATGCCTAGTACTAGGCAAACTTAGTCTGACCACAGAGTGTAAGCCTATAGGATGTGCAAGACGCTATAAGGGTCCCACACATGGGGTACCAAGGCACTTGAAGTGGGTGAGTGGAAAGCCAGATCTGTGAGATCCTCATGGCTTAATGGTTTAGGCTGTTGTGCGGCTACGGTAGGGCTTTGGTGGTCTGCAGTCTTTAAACGGACCAACCCTTCCAAGCTTAACCCCGAACGTTAGGACCTTTAGATCCGTAAAAGGTTTAAGCCATACCCAAATGGGAGTTTCCGAAAATAGGGGACCCTAATATAGTACCTTAAATAATAGGATCCTTATTATAAGGACCCCAAAGATAAGGTACCCCTAATTTTCGGAAACTCCCAAAACATTAAACTTTCAATCTCTGGAGCTCTAGGCGTCCGGATGATGAACGAGGCGACCGACATGATGATTGCGATGAAGGAATTTCACCCTGCTGCTGGGCCTTAGATTTTGATAAAACAAAAAGAGTAAGAAATGCTTAAACAAGTATGTACGCAGCAGCCTCCGTAGAATGTTTGCGAGGATATATCCTGTAGCAGCTCTGTGGTCAATTTAGAAAGCAAACGAGATAGACTAACACAGCTTCAACGACCGTGAACATCCTCCCCGAGTTTGCGCACCTATTCTCTAGGAGCGCAGGCTCAATCTAGTCATCTAGTCAAGCCATTTCGAGGTTTTCGGATGCAGCGCAGAGAGCACAGCCAGTATGTCTAGCAAGAGCGGTATTGCTGTTAAGAGCGGAGAACAGCAGCATCGGTCAATCCCAAGAGCGTAGAGGTGTCATAGCATCCGCAGCGAATGAACATTGTGACATTTTGTTGCACTTACAGTCATAGATCTCTACACTGTAACGTAGGCTAAACTAGTTGTTGACAGTACTGACCAGTTAGCCTCATGACAAATATCGTCAGCACATAGTGGTGTAGCGTCACGGCATAAGCACGCCTAGGTATAACAGCACCATAGTGAAGCATTCTCTACATACATACATTTCATTGTCAACAACATGCGCGCCGACCTACTTCAAAGGGAGGCATAGATGTATGTGTATATACGTATAATATAAATACGCATATAGATAGGTTTTAGTGTTTGTTCAACAGGCCAAGCAGTCCCGAAGCCTACACCCCGAACGTAAGAAAACAGCGCGAAACCCTTTCCACAAAACCTCGCTGGCCTGGCCTCATCTCCGCTGTGTTGGTGATGTCTTTTCCTGCCTGAACGATCGGGTTTAGGGATTTGGATTTTGTGCACACTTAGATGGGCGCACGTGCTTTGGGGTGTCCGGGTCATTCCGGGTTCCTGTGGTACCGAGAATGACTAGTGAGCAGAAGCTTTGAAGTACCAGGGTTGTAGGGGTTGTGATACAGGGGCCTAAAGAATTACCAGTACTATTTCGGTGGCTCCTTATTATACTTCTAGTTTACTGGGCACCAAAACCCTATTCTTGTTTATTCAGGCCCCTAGAGTAGGCTGTGTTTTGTCCATCGATCCAAGGATATTTGGAATGGCAATGTGCGCGCCGCAAACATGGCTGCTGCCGAGGAACCTGAAAGGGGGGCTGCTTGCATGTCTCATAGGAGGCCAAAAGGCGTTTTAGCCTATGGGGGTTTAGTAGGGATTAGGGTTCCCATAATAGGGTTCATATTAAGGAATCCCTACCCCAAGAATCTTAAACCCCCCTTTTGGCCTCCCATCAATGTCTGGTGCAAGTGTTATGTGTTGGAGAGGTGACCTTCAGTTTCCTTTAGACTTTAAGGTCTCTGAAGCTAGAAAGGCCCTTTTGGCGATTAGCAGCACCGGCCCCCCAGCGAGAAGAAGCTTGACTTCAGAAGCTCAAATTGCATGCCACCCAGGCCAAACCCTATACTTAGCCCTAAACCCGCACAACCCTAAACCCATAAACCCGACCTAGACCACCAACTACACTCTATCACACCCCAAATACCCAACCCTAAACCCTAAACCCTAAACCCTAAATACCCACTATGAAGGACCATGAGGCCTCTGTTAAAGAGCCCCTGAAAGGTCCTGGTGGGCTGGGTCCCCCAAGGATCCATACCCTAAACCCTAGACCCCAAAACCCTAAAACCCTAAAGGAACCTTATTTTTGATCCCTGTAAAGGGGCCCCTAAGGCGAACCTGTCATAGTTTAGGGGTTTTGGGGGTTTTGGGTTTAGGGCTCAGGGGTTTTAGGGTTTTAGGGTTCAGGGTTTGAGGGCACGAGACTCTTCCAGTGCTGGTTCGACAATCGACACGTTAATATAGGGGCCTAAATTAGAATAGGGCTTCATATAAGGGCTACTGTAAGGGTTTAGGGTTTAGGGGCTTAAATATCTACAATAGGGTTTCCTTTAAAGGGGAAAGGGGTCTATAAGGACTACTGTAAGGGATCTGTAAGGCTCCTAATACTGTGAGGGCCTTCACAATTACAAATACTATTCTGGGGGCTTCTTTTTATAGTTATAGTAGAATGGGCCCCAAAGCCCTATTCTAACTATTAAGGCCCCTATATTATAGTTCCCTTATAGATCCCTTAGACCCCTTTATCATAAGGATCCCTTTAAAGGAACCCTACTCTAATGATTAAGGAAGCCTTTGAGGGACCCTAAAATCGCCAAGGAGCAAGGCCCCCATATTATCCTAAACGCTTATAGCCCTTATAGAAACCTTTAATTAAGGTGTGTGCCAAGCTGTATTGCATTAACTTATGCTGCCTCAGCTGTAGCGAGTGATGTTACTTCGCGCAACTCAACCGAGGCTGCTGTCACAATCAGATGTATGTGAGAAGTCTGTGGTCTGCGCTGCTTGCGAACACATGATGTAGAAGACATCTTGACAGGAGAACTTGGACTAATGTAGGGACCTGATTAAGAAACCCTGGCCCTATAACCCCTCAATATATGTATGTATATGTATGTATATATATATATACACAGAGGTTCATAGAATAAAGGCCCAAGGTTTCTTAATCAGGTTCCTCCATTCAGGTACAAGCTTCGCAGGACAATCCCCAACAACCGAAAGCCTAAGAGCCCTAAGCCCTCGGAGCTGCATGCCCTGAGCCCGGCGGTAGTAGCCCTAAACCCTGGCAAACCTGAGTTTCTGAAATCTATAGTCTCCTTAGAAAGTATACTTGTTTATTTTTGTTCATATAAAACCCCAGGAGAATGTTAAACATATCATTGTTATTATGGTTCTAAGGGGAGGTATAGAAATCTGAAACTCGTGAAAGCTTTGGATGCCGAAGACCTGATCTATATCCTGACAACCTCCCAAACCCGCTGTCGGGGTTTAGGCATTTAGGAAGTTGGGGGTCGAGACGCCTACATAAGTACGCGGTTTAGCCCTAGAGCTCCCGGTTGAGAGGTTTAGGGTTTAGGGTTTATAGGGTTTAGGGTTTAGGGTTTAGGGTTTATAGGGTTTAGGGTTTATAGGGTTTAGGTTGGGGTCTAGTGGGTTTGGGGGGTCAGGGGTTCCGGGTTTAGGGGTGGAAGAAAACCGAAACCTGTTTAAGCCAACAAGACTGAGCATCGTACACGCCCGTGGGTATCTTCAATGCCCGGGCGGGCGTTGATTTAGTCCAAACCCTGAACTTTTTGTTTGGATTAATTTAATCAAAACGTTTTAAACCCTAGACGCTTCAAGAAAAATCCAATGAAGAGTCTTTCGCCCGAAACCCTGCTACGGGACCTGCAACCATAAACCCTAAGCTTCTCGAAAGCGTTCTCTCCAATCCCTCAGCCCAGCGCCGCAGGAGATGATCGCAAAGCTCGGTCCGAGGTTCACACCGCAATATGTAATGCGCATAACGCGCGCCGGCTCGCACATCGCCGTCCTCTTGCCGCACATGGTGCATGCTCCCCTGATTTCTTTGATTTATGGGTCGGAATAATTAGTGACCACATTCCTTACCGCTCCTTCTTAGACTGCTAATTACTTTTATGTGCCCTAAGCTCATATTCTAATTGTTAAGGCCTCCATACCCTAAGCCCTAAATCCTATCTTATATATATATATATATATCATCTCTGTTGCTACATATCGCTGACAAGCAGTCTTCAACTTTCACTGGTTTCAGAATATGATAGAATCGGAAGTTTAAGTAGTACGATTTAGGGTTTAGGGGTTTAGGGTTTAGGGTTTTGATAGTAACAATGATGTTATACCCGAATACCCCATTCGAGCTATTGCGGCCCCTATACATTCAGCCAGTCGATGCCACAACCAACTGCCCAGATTCCCCTAGAGGTCCAAAGGACCCAATAAATAGGTACCCGGCATTGGGATAGTAGTTATGTAGGTTACTAGTTTGGAGAGTATATGATAACTAGGTACTTGGACCCTTAGGGTTCCTACAAGCGCTATGGAAAACAGCCCTAGACCCACACCACAAACCCTGAAGCCCTGAAGCTTCAAATCCTCAGTTTCCAACTCCCCTGCGACATGTAAACCCCGGAGCATACCCGATGCCCTGAGCACCTTGAATACCCTACCCATAGGCTTCATAGTAGCTCCTTTTTGGGGTTATCTTATAGGAATCTAAATATGAACCACAAAAGGAACTACTTGGAGCCTCTAGGTATAAGCACACCCGGTCCCAACCGCTCAGGCATGGGCCTTGGGCGTGGTCCGGTGCTACCGGCTCTACGCTGCCAGTCAGGCTGCGGATGAAACGATGTCTCTGGAGCTCTCCTTCGCACTTGAAGGGGTGATGGGCCAGGGGTGTGTCTTAGAGGAGCTCAGGGCTTTTGGGTTCGGGGTTTAGGAGTTTGGGGGCTTGGGGTTTAGAGTTCAGAGTTTGGGAATGGCGTCCTGAAGCTTTTGTGGGGCACTATATTCCCTACAAATCACCAAGGGTTAAGCTTTGGTTCCTCTTAGGAAACTCGAGAAGTACGTAAGGGTTTTCGTAGAAGGGGGTCGATGAGTAGGGTGCAAAATGACCATAGCAGCATGCCCAGTTACTCACATAGCAGGCCACGTGGGTACTTTCAGGTTTGTTTTTCAATTGCAGCTTCCAAGCAACAGCTTGTTGGATAAGGTAATCCCGAAAAGGAACTACTATGGGGCCTCTGGGTAGTGTCAGATTTATACCGGGTTTCAGGAGTAGCAATAACTGGGCTCCTTGGGATGATAAGTTCTCTAGTGACTGCAAAAGCACAGTATTTCTGGTTGCTGTGGAAATCGCCTATATTGCAAGTGCCATCATTGGGACCAGGATCTTAAGTTCTACCTTAACCCCGAAGAACCTACATTTTTACCCAGAGGCCACAGAGTAGTTCCTTTTTGGGATTGCCCGATAGGGTTCTATGTATGAACCCCGAAAAGGAACTACTTTGCGGCCTTTGGGCAAGGACTTATATAAAGAAATCAGAGCAAGGAACCCGAAAAAGGTGGGCTATTCAGGCTTAAGGTAAACTTTAAGACTCCAATGCATCTGAGCCCCGCGGACACAGGGAGGATGGCGTATGTCGCATAGTGAATCTAGAAAACGCCCCTTCCTGTAGTAGCTGAGTGGATGCGCTTTACACCTTTTGGGATAATAGTACCCGCTGCAGAGCTGAAAGTGTACTCTTTTTGGAGCTTATGAACTCAGCAACTAAGTTCGGCGCTGCTGCTTACAACTGTACCACACTAGACCACACCAGACCGTACCATACGATACTCTACCTGTGCTATGCTATTCCACACCGTACCCCGAAACCCCAATTCCCATTTCCAAGGCCTCTCTAATAGCAAGGTTCAGGCTCCTCTTGACAAGCCCTAAACCTTAAACAACTAAACCCGAACCCTTGAAGGTTCAGGATGTAACCCTAAGCAGTAAGCCCGACCCCTGGTATTAAAACCCAGAAAGGGGTCAGTATTGCTGCTTGTTCAGACCCGTATAATACAGGAACCAGATTATGCAATCTGGGGTCTTCAGTAGGGCTCTGTATATGGATATCGGGTGATGCGACCAGGGTTGCTTCGTTAGGTTCCTACATTAGTAGGATGTGTTTCTGCGTCGGTTTTGCTTCGTGCAGAGGTATTGCGTCTGGGACTAGCTGCTTTGGAAGTTTACGATGTTGGCGCAGGATGTTGATGTAGGTTCTAGTGCTTGAGATAGGGGTGTGGTAAACACATATGAACAAGCTTGTAATAATCTCAACTTATAGTTAAATGCGAAACTGCAATTATTATGATGATTGAGTCATGTGTGCTACTTGTTAGTAATATTGTTATGATCACTATTGTTACCATTGCCAATATTTTAATTGCTGCGATTTTTCGTATCGTTATTACCGGTAGTACCCTTATGTGTCTTCTTCTGATTCTGTGCTGAGGAGTTGGAGAACACGGCCCCGCTACGCTGGTACATGGAGTGCATGGGCCCTTCTGCTGCACAAAGAGGTTTGAGTGGGGAGGCTCTTGGGTCTTACCTAAACCCTGAAAGAGTAGTGGAAACACTGGCCCAGCACTTGTAAAACACACAGTATTTTACGTGCTTTTTGGGGTCCATGTTTGCTGCAATATGGTTTGGGGATTCAGGGTGGTGAGGTATAGGTATCGGTTTGGGGTAGATGTTGATTTCCATCATTTGTTTAAGATAGAGCCCTACACAATTTTCGGGACTGTTACAATCGACACCTAGTGGAAGCCTGAATAATCACCAACACTCTTTCTTTATTAGGGCTCCTGCTTTCAATTTTGTACTACCCCAGAAAGATCTACACGAAGCCCTCTGTGATTCAGTGCAGGAGCCTGGTCCAGAAACCCTGGCCCTGTAGCCCCCCAAAAAGTGGGAGTTTCCGAAAACAGGGGACCCTAATATAGTGCTCGAAATAGCAGGATTCTTATTGTAAGGACCCCAAAATAAGGTACCCCTAATTTTGGGCAACTCCCAAAAAATGAGCTCATAGGAAGAACCACAATAAAGACCCAGGTTCCCCTGGTACCTCCAGCTACCAAAATGCAATCTGCTATGTTGTAGGGCCTCTCAGATTTCTATATGATACCTACATATATATATATATGTATATATATATATATATATGTATATATATATATATACACATACATGGGCGGTTGTCAAAACTATGGTCCCTTTTTGGGTCCGTATTATAATACGGCACCTAATATTTAGGGTAGCCCCAAAAGGGGCCATAATTTTGACAACCACTCATATATATATATATATATATATATATATGTATGTATGTATATGTATATGTATATGTATATGTATGTGTATATATATATACATATATATATATATATATGTATGTATATGTATAAATATATTCAGACCAAGCAGGTCAGGCAGGGCATGCACGAATCTGAAACCTGCACCCTAAGCCTCAAACCCTGAAAAACAGAATCCTAAGCCCGAAGCGCTGAATCCAATGGAACAGATGGGTCTTTGCCTGTACAGGGGATTCGTGAGTTTAATTTCAGGGCCTCCAGAGATTCCGGCCTTATTTCGGGTTTGGGGTTGCGGAAGTTTTGAGGTTTGCGGGCGCGCAAGGGTTATATCTGACACCTCTCCACAGGACCCGGCTTCAGAAAACTGGCTGCCGGCATCAATCCTTTCCGCGGAGTTTGTAGAATTCTAGAAGCCCCAGGGCTCCATTGGACCCACCATGTAGGAACCTGATAAGAATCCCCGGGCCTATAACCCCCAAATAGTAGGATTCATCTACAGAACACTTAATAAAGGCCCAAGGTTTCTTAATCAGGTTCCACATGACACACTCGGGTTTAGGATAGTAGTAATGTAGGTCAGTATTTGAGCGAATACCTTGTTTTATGAATCTTGGAGGTACTTGGAGCCTTTATGGTAATGCCCACTTTAACCTGCCCAAAGCTACTTTTTGTAGGGTTCCTATAAAAGCCACATAATGGTTTGTAATAAGAACCTACAAAAAAGTAAGTTATGGTGGTTTAAGGCGAACCTTGAAAAGAGCTCCCAAGATCTAGGCAGGAAGGCTGTAAGCTCCCACACGCTGCGGCGCTTCCCCAACCCAAACTGGTGGACAAGAGTGGATAGTATACTGTTTTGGGCAGGGGCTTAGAGGCGTCCGGTCAAGATGCTTTGCTTGGGGGTCTGGTGGTCTTCGAATGGTTGAGATCCAGGTCCCGACTGCAAGCAGATTTCGGTCTCCATGCTGGTGAACCTCGAGCCGGCGATTAGCGCGCTTGAGGGAGAATGTCACTTCCAGAGCGGGCCTCTGTTTGACATTCAGTCACGTGGCTGGATGATGGGATGCAGTAGACCTGTTGGATATTCCGACATACCCAACCCCAAGGGTCCCGACAAGTTAGGTCTCAGGAAGTAGGATTGCAATACTTGCGCCCTTAGGACCCTAAAACCCTAGTAAAGGCTTCAATGGCTTTGTTCCGCACGAAGGAACATAATATAGGAACTAGGAACATAAATAATACCCAGTACTATTCTGGGGTTCCTCATTTTACTTATAGTATGATATACCCCAAAACCCTGTTCTAAATATTAAGGCCTCCACATTATTCACCCTAAACCCTAAACCCTAAACCCTAAACCCTCCGGCCCATGCGCCCGACACCTTCGAACGCTCCAGAAGTTCCCTGGAGGGCGCCCACTTGAGGAACTCCTATAGTCCGTGTGGGAGTTTCCGAAAATTAGGGGTCTTTAAAGGGATCCTTTTAGGGTTCCTTAACGGGATCTATAAGGGTTCAATTTTTAAAGGGTTTAGGGTTTAGAGTTTTCGAAAATAGGGGACCCTCGTATAGTACCCTAAGTAGTAGGATCCTCACTATCAGGACCCCAAAATAAGAAACCCTGATTTCGGAAACTAACAAATAGTATCCCTAAGGGCTCCTGTAAGAGATTCCTTAAAGGGTGGAGGGATGTTGAGGTTGCATAACGGTATATATGGGTGGGTTCACGTACCCATACAGCATATACTTTGGCCCTAAAGAGTACCTGTGTAGGGACTACTCTATAAGGCCCATGTATATACATGTGAGTTCATGGACTCTTATACGGAATGGAATTCCGAAAGCTCAGGGTCTGTATTCTTTTGAATCTTCAAAGTCTACGCTGTCTTCCTGTCAGTAAATGCCCTACATGTCCCAGAAGGCCCTATGCTGCAAAACCTGGGAAATCCTAAACCCATCTACCCACCTCCCAACAAGCCATTAAATTACCAGGCTCATCTGAATGATGTAATTATGTGCGGGGTCCTGACTAATTGTAACTGTCGCAGACAATCCCTCAAAACCCGATTCTAATCATGCACTCGGGAATCCCGCCTGAGCCGCGTCAGACCAAACTAAGCAGAACCCGCCACAACGTAGACACAACAAAGATCTAGAATAAATAGCCCGAAGGGAAAATGAACAAGCCTTCAAAAGCTTTGAACTGAATAGCTCGAGCATCTTGCTATAGCAGGCACAACAAGCCGTCACATCGTGAACCCTTTTCCTGGAGCCCCCGGCATAAACCTTGAAACCAACAAGCTCTCGATAGTCCCAAAACCTACCCATAGGCCCCATAGTAGTTCCTTTTTGGGATTACCGTATAGGATTCTAAATATGAACCCCAGAAAGGAACTACTTTGGGGCCTTAGGGTAAGCCCTAGGATGGAGGCAGTGGAGGCCCTCAAAGTGCTGGGTCCCCGCGACTCCGAACGCTCGCTGAAGGCACTGGCACCAAGGCGCTCCCACAACGCCTTGAGGTGTTTTCAATATGGGTAGTTCTCCAAATTAGGGTTCCTTTCTGGCTCCCCTAAAAAATACGGCACTCTTATAATGAGGGCCCAAAACAGGGACCCTAATTTAAATAACTACCCCTTTGAAGTGGAGGTTCTACTTGGAAAGTTTTGTAAGTTTAAATCGTGCTGCTTTAGACGAGCATCGGATTGGTGAGCGCATATTTAAGTCCTATCATGGGTATACTAGTTAGCACAAAATGCCCTATCTGTGCCCTGTCTTTTCTGGCGTTGCAGGTACGGTTAGGAGTCTTTCCCGATCAGGGGTTCTGTTTGTGAAAGCCGCTTGGAACCCTCAACGCCAAAGCGCCATCCAGACACGCAACTTATCGAAAATATTTGCCTTTGAACTGTAATTATGTGGCTCGGTTTTGGTAAGTCTTTGGATAGTTGGATCCTTATTGTGAGGACCCCTAAGCAAGGCCCAAACCCCAGACGCTAAACCCAAATGTTCTGAACCGGCAGGCTGGTTTCACGTTCTGCAGACCTTCGAAAAGCTGCACTTAGCGCCACACAGCAGAGATGGAGCTTAGATGACGAGGAATGTGCCTCGTTCTATGTTTTGTGCTGTGTGACGCTGTGCTCTTGGTGTTGGCTGGGCGAGGGATGGCTAATGTTTGAAAGGTTCAGCACCCAATAAGGGACCCTATATATTTTTGATTTTCCTTATTTGGGTTTATAAGGGACCCTATATATAAATATTTTTCAGGGTCAGTAAACCCTGCCTTAACCCACCAACACCTTCTTTTTTGTAGGATCTCTGCAAAATCTGTACTCGGGTTTTATAAACAAACACAGTAGGTTTCGGTAGGTTAACGTGAACACTACCTAGAGGCTCCATCGTAGTTCCTTTTTGGGGTTCATGTGTAGAATCCTATAAAGTATTCCCGAAAAGAAAATACTATGGATCCTATTGGTAATTTCGGTGTTTTTGAGGAGTGAGCAATCACATGCGTTTCCAGGATTATGTCGATGGGCCAGAGGGGTTCAGGCAAGATATTCTTGGGGTCTCAGATAACAAACGACCTTACTGGACTGTCCACAATTCATGGTGCAGTTATATAGGTATGTACCATATGTTTATACATATTTATATGTACATGTATATAACCGTGTGCTTATATACATAGACGCATACGTTTATATGCCTACAAAGGAGCCCCTAAACATTTAGAATGAAAGACCTACGATACACGTTCAGGGCCGGCAGGCATCCCCCCTTTTAACAGACGTCAGGCCCATCCGTCCACTCTTATTTGTGGCCCAGGTGCGGCTGTGCTTCTCAACGCCTTGCCGGATTTCTCAACTGGAGTCTTTTCATGGGTTTTGGATTTTGGAGTGCCGTGTAGAGGGGCTACATATTGGGGTCAGGGTTAGGAATTTCAGTTTGCTGCAGAAGCAGCGTGGTTCTGGGTCATCTTAAGCTCAGCTTCGTTGATCTTTCTAGGCTCCTTTGCCGAAACTTCATGAAGCCAAGAGCCACCATGTAGACCCAGCTCAAAAGGACATCAGCAACAACAGCAACAACTACAACTACTACTACTGCTGTTACTACTACTAGTACTACTACTACTACTACTACTACTACTACTACTACTACTACTACTACTACTACTACTACTACTACTACTACTACTACTACGACGACTACAAATTACGACTACGACTCCGATGACGACTACCAGTACCAGTACTCGGTACTAGTACTGCTGCTATTACTTCAACGACCATCACGACCTCCAGCTCTAGCGCGTTGTGTCGCCGACGTACACACCAAGATAGAAAGTGACACTCCTATTCCCGAGGGCTCCATTTGCCAAGGGTTTCGTGGGTTTTTGGTATGTTAAAGTGTTATGTCGGGTTCCAGAAAAAGCAGCCATAGTCAGAGTAGGGGTCCTTGATAGAATCGTCGCAAGCCCAAAACCCTGGAACCCCCAATCCCTGCTAAAGTGTTAACTAACTAAGGCCCCTAGTTTCCCCCTAAACCCTACAACCCTAAACCCTAAACTCTAAAACACTCCCTAACTCCTAGACCCCTAAACCCTAAACTCTAAAACACTCCCCAAATCCTAGACCCCTAAACCCTAAACTCCAAAACACTCCCTAAATCCTAGACCCCTAAACCCTAAAACCCTAAACCCTAAACCCTAAAACCCTAAACCCTAATCCCAGAACCCAAGCTTTTTCCAGCTGCAAGGAGTCGAAACTCCGCGGCAAGAGGCTTTGGAGGCCCTCATGCACTTCAATCCCAGCCATCCCGAGGTGGGAGCTTCCGAAAATAGGGGACCCTAGTATAGCACCCTAAATACTAGGACCTAGAGTAGGCCCTTATTCCCTTTTTGGGGGTTCAGGTTCCCTTATAAGCCCGCTTTAAACCAAAAAGGGCACCCTTTTTATTCCTAGGCTACTCTTGGGTCTAGAATAGTAAGGATCCTTGAAGGGTTCTATTAAGGGTTTAGGGTTTAAAGTTTGCGAAAATAGGGGACCCTAATAAAGTACCCTAAATAGTAGGATCCTTATCATAAGAACCCCAAAGTACGGTACCCCTTTTGGAAACTCCCAGGTGGTGGCGCGCCGCTTTGCGGACGATGGCTCCAGGAAGTTTCTGTTTAGATTTGGAGCTCGTTTCCTGCTTAGCTTTGCTTTTTCGGTTGTTTCAGGCACGGAGGCTAGATTCCAGCTTCTTTGGAACATGGTACACATAATGTAGACCCTGACGAGTATATCCCGGGCCTACATACCATCGGGATCGCGCTGGCGATCCTCCATCAAATCTTTTCGCGGTCTTTTGGGCAGTCAAGGCATAGTGGGAGGCCTCAATGTGGGCGAAGACGCTGAACAGTTGGCTACTTGGCGGCAGGAGGACTATGCGGCACAGCACTGCATGCATGGATCCCATAAGGCCGTTCCTTAGGGTTCACTTGACAGTACAACGTAGAAGCCTGACTGACTCTACTATCATCGGTTGATGATATAAATCCTGCATTACCCATAATAAGGAATATACTATAATTCCCATATATTCCCTATTATGGGTAATGCAGGATTTATATCATCAACCGTAGTGTTACTCTGACTTCGGTGTGGTATGCTAGCCAGAAGATCTGGGGCAAGCTCAGCTGCTGGGAGGGCGTTGACGGACAGTCCTGATGTGACGGCACGTAAAGCCCTACTTGGAGGTTCTTGGGTACTGTAGTTATAAGTAGGGTTATAAGTTCCCTAATATGGGTTATAAGTATAGTTATCCTACCTATAACCCTACTTATAACTACCCATGCACCTCCAAGTAAGCCATTCTGTGATTCCAGCTTTGGCCTATGCCCTACGCCTTCATGTCTACCTGAAGCCCTAAGCCCCAAGCCGTGACATCTGAACAACGGGGTAAAACAAGCCCCTAATCCCCAAACCCTAACCCCCAAACCGTACATCCTAAACCCCAAACCCTAATCCCTAGACCCCCAAACCCTAAACCGTAATAGCTGCAAGGTCAGCCTTGCCTATTTCGATCGGGTGGCAGTGAGTGCCGATGCGGAGTCCTTGGTCGCCGGCACATTGCAACTTTGCTGGTATTACAAGGGTAGGAAACCCTTGTTTCTTAGTAGCTGAGTGGATACACTTTACACTTTTGGGGATACTACTACCCTCTATAAAACTGAAAGTGTACACTTTTGGGGGCTTATGAACTCAGCAACTAGGTTTTAGGGTGCAAGGGTTCTAGAATCGTAATATAATATAAGGGTATTATACCATCAGCCCCTGAGGCAACACATGTTCCAAGAAGGCCGCGACTGGATGCCATCCACTCAGCAGGCGGGGCAGCGCGCGATATGGGAGATTCCGAAAATAGGGGACCCTTATATAGTATCCTAGATGGTAGGATCCCTATTATAAGGACACCAAAATCAGGTACCCCTATGTTCGGAAACTCCCAACTGGTGTAAGGTTTCGCGATATTTCGGGCTCACGGTTCAGCGAGGTTTAAGTGTCGGGGATGCTCAGGGCTGGGGTGACGCGGACTTCGAGCTTTGCCTACTCTGTCGGGTATCATGGGGAACCAAAGGTTAACCAAAAGCAACAGAAAGTCTGGCTCCAAGACTCTGAACGAAAGGCTTTTCTCGGCAGTCCCAAAACACCATGCTGCAACCTGAACCTTAAATCCTAAAACCCCCATAGTAGTTCCTTGTTGGGGTTCATATATAGAATCCTATAAGGTAATCCCAAAAAGGAACTACTTTGGGGCCTATGGGTAAATCCTGAAACCCGCAAGATACACCCAGCCTCAATACCCGACCCTAGAAGATCCCGACAGCAGCCCGTCTAACATCCGCACAAAGCCTTAGGTGATCCTCCGTGCACTGGAAGTCGTAGCAAGCCGTTCCTACGACGGAGTACGTTTGGGGCTGCTGAAGCACCTGATTCCCACGAGGTGCCACCATGGTTTAACAAAGGACCTTGATAAATCAGCACAGGGTCCTTGAAGGGCTCCTTTTGAAAGGAACCGGTTAGGGTTAGTATAAGGGCTCTGTGATATAGGAGCCTTAATGACGGGAAGAGGGTTTCGGGATATTTTGTAGTGTTGTTAGAGTCAGGAACCCTGAGGCACAATGTTGGCAATTCTGACTTTTGTAGTTAGTTTTTCGCCGATGGCCTTGATGGTCTCATAGGGGCTTTACAGAACCCGCGAAGTTGAGATTGTAGGATCCTTAAGGGAGGGTGGTTCAAGGAAAAAGGGTTTCAGGAATCCTTAGGGGACTGTAAGGGAACCTTAGGGAGTACTAGGGAGAGTTAGGGATCACTAGCCTATGTACTCCCCTTGGACCCCCCTCCCTTAAGGATACAACAATGAGAGTTTCAGGGCTAGGACTGAGGTTTTAGGGCCTAGAGGCTTAGAGTTGAACCTTAAACCCCATGAACGCTAGACCCGAAGGGTTCTGGGGTTAGGGAGCAGTTTTGTGGTTGAGGATGTCCTCGGTTTTTTTAGGGCATAAAGTTTACGGTTGTGGATATGCTTGGCTTGGGGTTTCGGAATTGGGGTGTAGGTTTGTGGAAGATCTTTTTAGCCGGAGGAGCAGGGGACAGGGGACATAGTGCCTACGGGCGGATTAGGAATACCAAAGCAGAGAAACGTTTGTGGATTTCCTTCCTTTGCCCCTCTCTTTCCTGGGCTTCGAGTCGCGTAGCTACACTCAACATAGGGGGGCCTTAGTAATCAGAACAAGGTTCCTTTAAAGGGATACTATAAGTGTACTGTAAAGGATTTAGGGATGTAGGGGCCTTAATAATATGCAGGGCGACGTTTGCCGATCCCTGACCTAGTTGATGACAACCCTTCCACCAGGCCAGTCTGGATGCAGTTGCTTGCAGCTGAGTTGGCTGCCAAGCTTATACGACAGGAGGACTCGTCACAGATCTGTTAAGGCCTGGAAGGCTGAATGTGGAGGTGCGAAGAATTGGTTGTAGCATCCCTTTGAAGCTTAGTAGCTGAGTGATACACTTTACACTTTTTGGGATAAGATTACCCACTATAAAACTGAAAGTGTACACTTTGGGGGGGGCTTTTGAATTCAGCAACTAAGGAAGCCTCTTATAAGCATTTTGTCCCATCAGATATCCGCTCCAGAAAGCCAAACCGTGGTCTAATTCTGGAGGCGCCTGAGATCATGTAGTCGGAAAAAGCGGGGGGGGGGGGGGCCCTTGTGGAGAATCGTTTGCGTGAGGGCGTCCACAATACAGGGTCTCTAGCAGATGTATTGGGCGGGCGGGGGAACTCCCGACCGGACTAAGTTTTTGGGATTTCATGGCGTCAGATTGAGGTCTTAGGGGGTGTGGGCCCTACTGGTGGTTGGAGAGTTTTAGTGTTTCAGGCCGTATGGGCTTTGAAGTCGGAAGTGTAGCTCTTGTTTTGGTGTCTTGGGTCAATCTCTCCTACGTTTTACACTAAACACGCTAAACCCAATAAGAAAGCAGCGGTAATCATGTTCAGGTACGTACAAGTATAACCTCCAGGGCCCATTTCCAAAAATATGAGAGTACTACTTATTATAACATAGTCGTCATTCTTATTCTAGCAGGGCTTAGTTGCTAGACTCTGAACGGCTTTCGGCACCTGAACCCTGTTTGGAGCCTGGCCGTCTGGGGTTTATCCGAACGGATCTGCTAGATGAGAAGAGGATGCTGACGTCGTGGCGGCCATGCGGAAGTGTGCAGAGCACATGGAGGGGGAGGAGCCGGGTCATAAACTGAGGACCTAAGACCTTTCGGGGTGGCTTAGACCCTAAACCCCCAACCCCTAAACCTTGAACTCTGTATTCCTGAAGGCTGATTTTGTGGCCGGACGCTCTTGTGTCAATTCCAGGTATCCTGTTTACTTTTTGTGTGTAGGGGTTCCTAATATTTTGAGAATGCTGTTCCGCCTTAATAGAGGTCTGGGAAAATTCGACAGCATATGCCTTTATAGTATGAAAGATGGACAAATAGCATATTTGTTTGAAGCCTATTCTGATGATTCAGGCTCCTATGTCCTATGGTGCACGCCTAAAACCTGCACGAGAACGGCCAATCATCTTCAGAAAGCCTTCTGCAAACTCCGGATGGTACAAGTTTGTGTCTTGCAAGACAGGGAAGCACAAACTTTACAGCCTGTATAAGCTGCACTATTGCCTACACCCTGAGCTCCCCCACAACTTCCCAAAGCACACCAACATCTGGATCAGGCCCCGCACACCCATCCACTACATCCTAAACCTTCACAGCCTTAGCGCAGGTTTCGCTCGCTCCATCCGAAATAAAGCTCCGGACAATCCCAAAGCACGCAGGATCTGATTGCGCTCCTTCAAAGCTTTGCCATCCACTTACCGAATGCTCTGGGCGAGGTGAGTCGTGGTCAGATTCTACCATTTTGCCAAGAAGGCACTAAACCCTAAACCCTAAACCCCTAAACCCTAAACCCCTACACCCTAAACCCCTAAGCCCCTAAATCCCTAAACCCTAAACCCTAAACCCGAAACCGTACCACTGTGTGCAGGCTTCAACCGGAAGGCTTATACCCAGAAGCCTCGATACCCTTTGAATAAGGCTCCCCTTGTCGAGCTGAGCCGTGTGCTGGTTTAGGCAGTATCTCAGCTCTACAATGCGCAACCTTTAAACTTTTGGGGTTCTTTTAGTCGTAACCTGAAAGTCTAACCTTTTATTTCTTTGGCTTATTGGGGAGGTAAGGTTCCTGCATTGCGGGATCTTCGGGTTTCTGGGTCACCTAGGACCCAGAGTAGGCCATTATTCCCTTTTTTAGGGTTTAGGTTCCCCCCATAACCCCCTTTAAGCCCAAAAGGCCACCCTTTCTATTCCTAGGTTACTCTTAGGTCTAGTCACGCAGCAGCAACCCCAGGTGGTTAACACCCTGTGCTTGGAGCTGGAGAAGGTTCGCTGAGGGGTTCGGGGCCGGGAACCCTATATGGGTGGTTGTCAAAATTAGGGTCCCCTTTTTGGGTACCCTAATATAATACGGCACCATATATTTAGGGTGCCCACAAAAAGGGACCATAAGTTTGGTAACTACCCATATAAATCCTAGGTCCGCAACTCCTTGGGTCCAGGCTGTGTGTCTGTTGTGAAGTTCTAGCGTGGCAGGCAGTTGAGGGAGTATTTACAATCAAGAATCAGAATACCTCGCTCTTAAACTTGACATCCTGAGATCTTAACTCCGAAGGATTGGTATATCAAAGGGGAAACGGAGGGACCCTTAATGGGGACCCCTACTATATAATGGGCTATATAAGGGGTATATAATAGCTATATACCTAGGGTCCTTATTCAGGTCCCTCCTTTTACCCTTGGAGTATAGGGTCTAGGAGCTTGAGAATGTCGAGGGTGTTCAGGGTTGTCTTGGCTTTGCAGGCCAGGATTTACTGATGCTGTCGCCGCCTACACACGGTTGTCGGGTTTGGGTGTGTCATAGACATCATGAACCACAGGAGGGGGTGCTCTAATCAATAGCCTGCAGGACAGCAAGCGACAGCGCCATATCGCGCACAGGGAACAAAAACTATCGAAAAAGCTCAACGAGCTACCTCAAGCCGGTGACCATGCTTGTTCCATGTTACAGTAGCAACCTAATTATAAATGCGAAGCCCAAAACCCCAAACCCCTTAACCCTCAAGCCCCTACTTAAGCCCTAAACCCTAAACCCCGACACCAAAAACCCTGAGCCTTCAGGCCACCTTTAAAATTCACATGCTTGATGCCCGAAACGAACTGAAGATCCGGAGCCCTCACGTAAAACATCATGAGCAATAACAGTAATAAACAATAACAGTTATGTTACGTAGTAGTAGTAGTAGTAGTAGTAGTAGTAGTAGTAGTAGTAGTAGTAGTAGTAGTAGTAGTAGTAGTAGTAGTAGTAGTAGTAGTAGTAGTAGTAGTAGTAGTAGTAGTAGTAGTAGTAGCGCAATAGTGGCAAAAGTAGTAATAATATTGATAGTAGCACAGTCATCGGCCTCAAACCGAATAGAACGAAGTTGAACAGTGAAAACGCAGCGGACAGTTTTCGGCCTCAAACCGAATAGTGATAATATTGGCAACCAGAAAAAGAAGAATATGTACATACGTGCAGCGTATAGTTGTAATGTACACACACACATGTATATATATATATATATATATATATATATAGATACACAGGCATAATGTAGAAAGCCACCAAAGCTAGTGGAGGACAACGGCTCGAATAAGATGGCGGTCATCCGTGCCCTGCACCTTGGTGGGTAGTCAGCCTTTAGCTTTCAATGAACTGATTTTGCGGTTTGCAGTTTAGAGTTGACAAGGGTTTAGGGCTTAGAGTTTAAGGTTTAGGGTTGTGTTTGAGGCCTTCTTCTTCGTCTCCTCCACTTTGCATGAGGCGAAGAAGGATGCGATACACAACCCTCCCACACAACCGTGAGACCCAAACCCCAAACCCTAAACCCCAACAACGTAACTACAAACCCTAAACCACCTGATGATCAACCCTAAACCCTAACCCCTAAACCCTAAACCCCTAAACCCTAAACCCTAATGTATGAATGCATGAACTTTTACCGGAAGCCCCGGACCTTGCCCCCGGAGATCCCATAAAGTTTGATGTGACTTTTATGGTTTCGGGCTACCGGTATCCTAGCAAACCCACCTTGCGAGGGTTCGTATGATGTTTTCCGTAAAAGTAGGGTTTTTGGGTGGGCCTCAGGTATACTTTAGAGTTACTGAGTTTAGGCTTTAGGGTTTAGTTCCCCAGCAGCCCTAAACCCTAAACCCCCAAACCCTGAACTACGGAAGTTGAAGCGAAGCAACGCCGAGGAACAACCAGGCACCCGAGGCCATGCTTTGGTTCAGCAACATTTTGCCCATTTGCAGCGTGTCCACTATACCTAGAGGCTCCATAGTAGTTCCTTTTTGGGGTTCAGATTTAGAATCCTATAAGGTAATCCTACTATGGAGTCCATGGGTATACGCACTGTTTGTGGGTTTTCGAAAACTAGGGCCAACCTTATTTTGGGGGTCCTTATATTACGGGTCTATACTATTTAGGGTACTATATTAGGGCCCCCTATTTTCGGAAACCCCTATATGAGGGGCTTAATCATCAGAACTTGGTTCGTGGAAATAGTACTGTGAGGATTTGCGGCAATGGGTTTTTGCGGAATTAGGATTCAGGGCCTTATACTTCGCTTGAGGGGCTGGGATATCCTTAGCAGGATTAGCCATGTAAGAGGGAAGGACGCATGTCGACAGCCCAACACCCTGAGCCCTAAGAATCCCTGAACCGTTGTCAAGCACCTGGGCCCCGAACCTTTATATCCCCTAAACCCTGTACCGGGTTGAGGGTTTAATGGCCCAGCAACCCAGTATTCCTCGTGCCAAACCGCCCAAAACACTCGAGTGCTGATCATAAATCTTGAATCCAAAACCCTAAACCCTAATCCTAAGTCCTAAACCCTAAACCCTAAAACCCTAGCCCTAAATCTTGAATCCTGAACCCAATACCTAGCATGCTAATTCCCCTCTCTCCGGCTCCCCCTTTCGACACCGCAAAGAAGGACCTTAGTAGAAAGCCCTTATAGAAACCCTCGAAGCCTTAATCCAAAGCCTTAAACCCTCGACCCTATAAAGCCTGTAAACCCCTAAACCCCTAACACCCTAAACCCCTAAAACCCTAAAGCCCTAAAGCCCTAAATCCAAACCCTAAGCGCCCTAAAGCCCTAAATCCTAACCCTAAACCCTCGACCCCAAATCCTAAAGCCCTAAACCCCCAAATCCAAACCCTAAACCTTAAATCCTACAGCCCTAGACCCCCAAAAGCCCCTAAATCCCAACCCGAAGCCCTGAACCCTAAATCCTACACCCCTACTTTAAGACTCTTGGAGACTTTGTTACTTTGTTCCTTTTTTGGTTCCGGTCTTCCTTTATAGGGGTCTCCGAAAAAGTAGTTTTTTGCATACCTTCCAAGGGGAGTAGAGCCTAAGCCCCGTAAGAAGCAGCCCCCAAGGAAGGCGATGAGCGAACTTTGCAGGCCCTCCAGCGGTACCTGAAGCGGACTGACTCCCTCCTGCGAGAGGAGAGGTTTAAGGGCTCCTTCAAAGGATTTTTGTTAAGGGTCCCTTTAAAGGGGTTCAGGGCTCCTTCAAAGGATTCTTTCAAGGGTCCCTTTAAAGGGGGTTTAGGGTTCCTTCCAAGGATTCTTTAAACTTTCCCTTTAAAGGGGGTTTAGGAGTTTAGGGGTTTAGGGTTTCAGGGTATAGGGGTTTAGGGTTTGTGGTTTTGGGGTTTTGGGGTTTGGGGTGTAGGGTTAGGGTTTAAGGGGTTTAAGGGTTCAGTGTTTGGGGTTTCGACCAGATTAGGGTTCCAGGGTTTTAGGGTTTAAGGGTGGCTTGAGGGTTTTGTGTTTCTTGTGATTACCCTACATCCCCAAAGTAGTTCCTTTTTGGGGTTCGTATATAGAATCCGATAAGGTAATCCCCAAAAGGAACTACTTTGGGGCCTTAGGGTAAGGGCTTGGTTCTGATCTGGGCCTGCTGTTCCGCGTCAAAGCGTGGGATCTTCGAATCCAATTCATGCCACAGCCGCACAGTCCACCTGCAGATGTGTTCATAGGAGTTCACTTTCAGGCCTAGTACGGAGTAATCAGCATTACAACACTTTACTTGGAGGGTGTGGGAGAGGACCTGAACAAAAGCCACGAGACTGAAGCCAATAAACGACTGGTCAATTTCAAAGCCGGTAAAACCCGAAAACCCCGCATTGGAATCCTGCAACCTATGTTTCCCTTACCTGTACCCGGGTTCCTCACTATGATTTCAGTCATTCAACAGGTGGGCTCTTTGGGGTCAGCCTAGCCCAGTTAATGTCGCACAGATCCCCTCCAACTCCGTAATACAAGGCCTTAAAGCTTGGAAGCCATAGAACAGCTTCCACAATAACGTGTTTGGGTACTCTAATCGCGATGTAGCCCCAATATCCTCCCAAAGGTGAACCTTTGGCTTCCCAGGATACTCGACAAAACAGGGAAAACCGTAATGCAAAGCCTGAGCCCTGAACCCCTCTAAACCCTAAACCCCTATACCCTAAAACCCTAAGCCCCCTAAACCCTAAACCCCCTTTAAAGGCACCCTTTAAAGAATCCTTTCAAGGAGCTCTCATCCCTAAACCCCCCTGTAAAGGTACCCCTTTAACGGAGCCCTAGACCCTAAACCCCCTGTAGAGGTACCCTTTAAATATCCTTTCAAGGAGCCCTAAACCCCCATTAAAGGTACCCCTTTAAAGGATCCTTCAAAGGAGCCCTAAAAACCCTAAACCCCCGGTAGAGGTACCCCTTTAAAGAGTCCTTAAAAGGAGCCCCAAAAAACCCTAAAGATGCTTTAAAGGTACCCCTTTAAGGAATCGTTAAAAGGAGCCCTAGAAACCCTAAAGATGCAGGAGGGCCCAGAGACACTCCTGGCAGCCGAAGCACTCGTAAGGAAGCTTGGGGAGGAAGAGCAGACGAGGACTCACTGAGAGCAGACGAAGACTCACTGGGCTGTAGGGGTCTAGGGTATAAGGGTGTGGGGTTTAGGGGTTTGGGGTTTTGGGGTTTAGGGGTTTAGGGGTTTGGGGTTTAGGATATAGGGGTTTAGGGGTTTAGGATATAGGGGTTTGGGGTTTAGGGGTTTAGGATATATAGGGGCTCCTTTAAGGGGGTCTATAAGGGCTCCTTAAAGGGATCTATAAGGGTTCTGTAGGGGGTTTAGGGTTTAGGGGTTTGGGGTTTAGAGTGTTTAATTTGTAGGGGTTTAGGATATAGGGGTTTGGGGGTTAGGGTTTTGGGTTTACGGTCTAGGGTGGATATAGGGGTTAGGGGTTTAGGGTTTTGGGTTTGCCGTTGATAGCGCGTAGGCGTTAAGCATCGTACTGTGACGACAAGCTGCGAACCTCAGATGTGTTTATCCGTGTTCTTTCCCACCCCACGCCATATGTTATAAGGTGGCCAGGCCACCCAAACCTATTCCTTGAGGGTTTAGGCTTCAACTCAGGCCATCGCGCTTTCCTTTCTAGCAGTTAAGGGGGGGCAGGGCAGGGCAGGGCGTTTAGGGTATAGTGGTGAATGGCTACACCTCCTCCGATGATTGTTTCCACAGCCACGGGAGTGCAGCCGCCGGTCCAGCCTGCCACAATCATCGTCGCAGAGTCTCGACGTGATCATGTAAGGTTTGTTTTTAGTTGTGTCCGTGTCTAATTGCTCGTCGTTCTCGTGACTCTGACTGCGCAAGCAAGGACAACTCCGGCTTGCTTTTTGTGCAGCCGGTCGTTCCTTGACTGGACCTATTCTGGCCGCGTGCGTTTATTGCCTGCAGCACGCTGTTATGTTTGCCACATTTCGTCCCTGAAAAGTTGTTTCTTCTGAGGTGCCGCCGCCTATGCCGGCCAATATTCTTATCTTCACGGCGTGTCTCGTACGCACGGATTTGCAGTCTCGATCTGACCCTGTCGTCTCCCATGAATCCAAGGCCGGTACACCAGATTCATCAGGTCAGGGCAGCGCTCGGCGGAGGCTGAGGTCGCGTTGCTGCTGCCCAGTGTGATGTAACACACATACATACAGACCAACACACATGCACAGCAAAGTGGAAGAACGGCAGGAGGCGACGAGATGCTCGAGCAGACTTGCCAGTTTCACTGAGGGGTGGCAGCAGTCGCGCTTTTTGCTTCAAAAAGTTGCATGCTTTGGGAGTCCTGTACCACCCCACCTTTCCTATCCCTCCAACCCTAAGATTTCAGGGCACCTTAACCCGTTCGTATGGTAGGAGTGCCTATCGAGAGCCCTGCGTGCACCCTTTGTGCTCGGCTTTCTTTGCCTTTGGTAGCTCTTTGTCTGTGTCCTTCCTGTTGCGCAGGCTGTGGCATCCTCTCTGACATGGTTTGTCGCGGCCTGGGGTTCGTTGCGGTTTAGGCTTTGTTGAGGTTTAGGGCTCGTGGGTGTTTCGGAGGCTCGTTGAGGTTGTCCGGTAGTGCATGCTCCAAGCCTTTCCTTCCCCTGCCCTCCTTCGCTTTGCCTCGCCTTAGGTTTCGCACCCCATCGTTATGGCCGGGGCCTCGCTCGCAAGGGGAAAGGGGTTTAGGGTATAGGGGTTTGGGGTTTAGGGTTTAGGAGGGGCAGACAAGGACTCGCTATCAGATGCTGTTTAGGGTTTCAGGGATCAGGGAGGGTTCGATAGGCTCTTATAGGGGTTTCTGGGTGGGGATTTCGGGTTTCAATGTTTCGGCGGTTCAGGGGGTTGTTTGTTGGGTACGTGAAGGGTTTCGGATTCAATGTCTTGGGATTTGGTGATTAAGGTTTAGAGCTTCGGGTTTGTAGGCTTTCTATACGGCTTGAGTTTAGGGTTTAAATATTCTAGGGTTCAGGGTAGAGCCTACGGTACAGCTAGTATTGTGGCTTTATTTATGATATGAATAGGTGTTCCTTTCTAGGGTGTGTGCGAGCTACTACAAGTTTTTTATAGTACATGTCTTGGATCATGTTGTACTTTGCGTATATTGGGGTTATAAGGTTGTGACATTATTGGTAAGTATACAGGTCCTGGTACGGGTCTCACAGTTCGTCGGGTTTCCGGGCTTAAGCTTTCTTGTTAGGATTCGGGAGTCAGGGCCGTCGTTATTTCGGGTTATTGGTTTAGGGAAGTTTTGGTTTTAATCGCAAAGGCCTATCCATCCATCCATTCCCCTGTCCATGGCCTGAACGCATGCCTACAAAGGTTGGCAGGATTACCACAGTTCTAGAGGCCAGAAATTCTTTCAAACATACATAGACATACATACACACGCACATCATACAGCGTACATACATACATACATACATACATACATACATACATAACACACATACCTATAACAAGTGCAAGCATCTTAGATTGTATATTAAGAATTAAGACAAGACTCCCACGGGGAGGGACCCGAAGCCGACGAGATTCCGAGCCGCAAGGAAGGCCGAGAAGCTGCTCGTGGATGCCTTGGTGCGCCATCTCGCGAGAACAGGAGCAACGGGTTTGTTTGTCATTCTTCGATGTTGGGAATAAGGCTCAGGACGCGATTTCCTAGTGTGGCGAAAGCTAAGTTTTCGGGGGCTTGCGGCTTATGTTTTGCAACCCTAGGCCGCGTAAACCCGAGTTAGTTTGGGCACGGGCTTATACTCGCTGACCTTCGAATTCCTCTCAACGAATACAACACCCCGAAAGGCCCGTGTAAAGGCGAACCCACGAAGCCCGAATTTTTGTCGGTTTCAAGCGCCCTATCAATCCTTAATTTCCTCTACGTTACGTCCTACAGACGAGAACCTAATCTAAACAACTACTCCCTACAACCTAAACCCCTAACTCTGTTAAGCCCTTATTCTGTTTCCCAAGCCTCCTTTATCCTCCTAGGGTTTCGCAGGGGTTTGGGGATCTTGGGGATTCCCATCGAAAGGAGTTTAGGCCTCAGATCCCAAGCTCCTGACCCAAACAACATCCAAAAACCCTACAAACCCTAAGCCCCCTAAGCCAGAAATCGACGTTGGACCACCAAACTCACACCAGGGGACACGGTATTTTGGCCGCCACTCCGCAAGCTGTGCAAGGAAAGGAACTCCACTGCACCTGGGGCATCGTTAGGAGAGATAGGGAGATAGCATCTAGTTTATGGATCTGCTTAGCTTTTGTTTGCACATGTTTGCAAGGTTGTGTTAACGAGTTTTTTGCAGGTTGCTTATATGCTTGTTGAAGGTGTTTACAAGGAGCGAATGCCAGGTGCAGCTTTGGCACTTCCGCATGTTTGCCAAAGGCTTCTGCCGACAGAACTCCCGGATGCGGCACGTGTACCCGTGACCGATTAGAGTTTACGGTTTGGGCCTCTTGTTTTGTTTTTTGTTTTAAACATGTTTTCCTACGCAGGTAGTTTTTTTGGGCTACAGGTATTCCAATGCCTTCGAACGACTCATCTGCTTCGGAGAGGGCCGTGCTGCGGCGGCCGCGCTCATCGAGGTTATCGAGACGGATCTGTTCGACTGGTCAAAGATACTTGGCCTTCTTCTGGTTGGCTCTTTAGACTTTAACTTTTTGGGGTTTTTATAATTATGAACTATAATACGGAGGCTTAAAGTTTAACTTTTAGGAGGGGTTCAGAAGTCAGCCAAGGACTATCGCTGTAGAGTTGCTTCCCCGTGCAGTTGGGCCTAACGAGGACCCTGAGGCTCTTCGCGCGATCCTCCTCCTTCTGAATGACAGCAGCGTGCTGTGCAAGCTGGCATCTTTGCGTTCATTGCTGGCACTTTCCCCTCGACCCTTCCCTGACGAAGTCACAGAAGCGGCCGAGAAGCATCTACGTCACGAGGACGAGGATATTCGGCTGGCTGCCTTACTTGTTTCTCGGTGCTGCATGCTTTAGTACTCCGTTCGGTTTTGGTTTGCTTTGACCCTTACATCCCTGATGAGTGTTGTTGAGGTTCCGGGGTTTAGAGTTAGGGGTTTCTCGATCAGTTTTTTGCCCTAAACCCTAAACCCTAAACCGTGAAGGGACTGATGAATTCGATGTCAGGTTTTGGAGCATATCCATGGCATGGAGTTTTTCCCCGAGAAGCTTGGGCGCTGCTTACGAGATCCCGTGTCGAACGTGGTGCAGAGCGCTGTACCTTGGTTTAGCTGTTTTTGTTCTGTTTTGAGTTTGTTTGTTGTGCTTCAGGGCTTTAGGGCGAAGGGTGTAAGTTTTTCATTCTTTCCGTCTGAAAAACCTTCTGTTGTGCTCTTATCAAATTATCTAAACCCTAAACCTTAAACACTAAAACTTAATTTGTCCGTTGAAAGCAACTTCTATGTTCCCACGACCTCCGAGCCTTGAGCCGGCTTGGGTTTAGGATTTTGGGCTGCTGGGATTAGGGCCTAGGGTTTAGGGCTTGGGGTTTAGGGCTTATAGGGTTTAGGAAGTTTAGGGCCTAGGGTTTAGGGTTTTGGGCTCGATGGGATTAGGGCTTAGGCTTGAGGGGCTTCATGGGTTTGGGTTGACATTGCTCGTGGTGTGCTTAGAGGCGGGAACTATGAAGGAAGCCCGATGGGTTCCGCTAGGGTTTAGGGTTTAGGGTTTAGGGTTTAGGGTTTGTTCCTGTAAGGGTTAACCTTAAGAGTCCAGGTACTCATAATATGGGAGTTTCCGAAAATTAGGGTACCTTATTTGGGGGTCCTGGTGGGGTCCGTCTAAACTCCCATACGTACATTATGCATGGTCTTAAAGTAGTCCCTATAATATGCACCTTAGGGCCAAAGTATATGCTATATGGGCACAAAAACCTATAGGGTAACGGCACGTTGTTAAGAGGAATCCTTTTCAAAATAGGGGACCCTACTATGGTACCCTAAACTAAACAGGACCCCATAATACGGTAGCCCTTATTTTTCGAAAACTCCGAAACCCTAAACCCTTTATAGAACCTTATAGAGCCGCTTGAGGAACCCTTAAAGGATCCCTGCCCCCTATTTTCCCAAAGTGCACGGCAGTGCGCTGCCTGTGCCATGCCTAGGTCCAGCTTCTTGCAGTCCTTTTGGAGCGTGGCAAGGGCACCGAGCAGGCCTACCCTACCCTAAGGCCCCAAAGTAGTTCCTTTTTGGGATGACCTTATAGGATTCTATATACGAACCCCAAAAAGGAACGACTTTGGGGCCTTAGGGTAATGTAGGGGCCTTGAGAGTTAGAATAGGGTTATACCGTACTTCCAATAAGGAACCCCCAAAACCTGTGCCAATTGTTAAGGACCCTGCATTAAACAGAAACCCTAAACCCTAAACGCTCTGCAAGCCTGCAGAGCAAAGCTTTCGGCGTTGCTAGTAGGAATATCATCGCCGTACGGTTAGATGCCGGGAAAGCACATTCTCACATGTTTGAAAGCCTTTCGATTAAGATGTCCTTGTATTGGAGCCCTTTACCCTCAAAGCAACGCTATTCAAATTAGTAAGATGCCTCTACGCATCATGTTCCCAACAGTCGGAGGCAATTTAAACTAAATGAAGCAGCGTGTTCCTTATAACACGGTTTAGGGGCTCAAAGTTTAGGGATTAGGGATTCAGGGATGCAAAGGATCCTTTGCCATTGTTGTGCCTTCAAGGATCACGCGACTTGGAAGGTATTGTAGGGGCCTGACAAAGTTTGCAGCATTCTAAGCAAGGTTTTGGCACATCTTCTGGTAGAACTATGCTAGTAGAATTATACTGAAAGACACAGGAATCGTACTGGTACTTGACAATCTTGTATGGTTTTAGGTACGCACCTTCAGTCTGGGTTGTAAGCAGTGGAATATATTTAGTGCAGTAACCTTAATTCCAGCCCTACTTGTCTTAGTAGCTGGCTAGGCAACCTCTAACCTTTGGGTTTATATTATCCTACCGAGTGAGAAGGTCAACTTGTTTGGGGGGAGGATACTAAGCCCCTAAGTTATAAGCCTCCCGGATCTTACTGCCGTACAGCCTCAAATCCGCCCACACCCGAAGGCCATGCACCATGTTAAATTCGGACCCTGACCCAGCTAGCCCGGCCTTCAAAAAAAGCTTAGAAACCACCAACGAAAGTCATAAAACACCTGTATCCCCATTGTATCGCGGCGGTTCCATTCAACATCAACACTGCTCTTCAATGCTGGAACAGATCAATACCCCTTTGAAGCAAGCGACCATCACTATGTCAAGGCCCTTGCCGCTCTCCCACCTCTCCTGACGCACGGCGACTGGGCGGTGCGCCAAGCGGCCGTCAGCGCTCTGGGGCAGGTGCCATTTAGGGTTTGGGGTGCCATTTACAAGGATCAACCCTAAACCCTTAAACCCTAAACCCTAAACCCTAATGGGCATTATAAAGGAACCCCAAACACTATGTATCCCTCTAAACACCTTCTGAAAGAACCCCTAATAGCATCCCTTCTCTTCGTTCTATGGTTGAAACCATCAGCCCCTGGTATAGGCCCTGAAACCTGGGATCCTTCCATAGCTACTATATACCCTACTTGTGGGAGTTTCCGAAAATTAGGGGTACCGTATCTTAGGGTTCTTATCATAAGGATCCTACTATTTAGAGTGCTACATATTCGGGTCCCCTATTTTCGGAAACTCCCATGTACCCTTTAAGCTCCTTTCAAAGGGCTTAGGGCCCAGAGTCGTGGCCCATACTTCTAGCTTAGATGCCCCAACATTACACCCTTCTGGTAGCACCTATAGATCAAAAGCTAGGACCCAGAGGAGGCCTTTATTCCCTTTTTAAGGGTTTCGGTCCCCTTATAACCCCCGTTAAACCCAAAAGGCCACCCTTGTTTGTTCCTAGGTTACTCTTAGGTCTAGGACGGCAGCACTTATAGATCAGAAGGAGCCCCATTCTGAATATCAAGGCCCTATCCTTCTTACCCTAAACCCCCCCAAACCCTAAACCTTTCTAAAAAGGGAACCCCGAAAGCACCCTCAACAACAACACCCTAAACACCCAAACCCCTCGACCCTAAGCCCCAAACCCCAGAAGGAACCTTTCTCTTTTTCGCCAGGTCCAAGACCTAAAACCCTCGTAGAACCCTTCAAAGAAGCCTAAAACCCTGCAGAACCCTTATAGGAACCCTAAGACCCTATAGAACCCTGCCAGGTCCAAGACCCATTATTGCTCCCTTATAGACCCCTTAGAGTACGTAACCTTTATAAGACCCGTTAAAAACAGCCCTATTCTTAATTACCCTAGAACCCTACTATAGATTCCTTATAATTAGACCCCTTTAAGGATCCCTTCAAAGAAACCCTATGAACCCCATATCAAGGCCCCTACTTCGGAAACCCTAATCCCTAAACCCCTAAACCCCTTTAAGGAACCCTTTAAGGTATATTCCTCAATTCCCTACTCGAAGGAACCCTTTAAGGAACCCCTTTAAGGGACCCTTTAAGGACCCCTTTAAGGATTCCTTTAAGGAACCCCTTAAAGAAACCCTACAGAACCCTAAGACCCTATAGAACCCCTTTAAAAAGAACTCCAGAAAGTTGGAATATGGATTAATGGTAGGATCCCCTATAATTTACCTTTAAGGGGTTACGATAATGATATTCCAACTTTCTGGCTTCTACTGTAAGGGTTCCTACTTCGCCAGGTCCAAGACGCCGAGGCTTCGATGGAAGCTCTCGAGCTCCTCCGCGTGCGGCCCGTGTGGCCGGAGACCAACCGGATACTGGGCGTGGGTTTTGGGCGTTTAGGGTTTCTTATCCCTACACCCCTAAACCCGGTTTAGGGTTTAGGGAGCTTTTGGTTTTGAGCTTTTAGGGTTTAGGGTTTTGGAGATTACAGTTTAGGGATGCTGGGCTTTCGGTTTGGGGTTTAGGGATTAGAGATTAGGGTTTAGGTTTTCTGGGGTTTATACTTTTACTTTTTTTTTAGGGTTTAGGGTTTAGGAAACCGGATGCTGGGCTTTCGGTTTAGAGCATAGGGTCCTTAGTTCCTGGTGATATGGACAGATTGAAACATCACATAGACAGAAGGAAGACGCTGAAAAGCCCAGAGGAAGTTGTGGAATATTGTGGATGTTACGGGTCTGGCTCTATGCAAGGCTACACAGCTGCTTTGTGTCAGCTTGTTCCTGTGAAGGGCACGAAATCTGCTAGAGATTGAACGCAAAGCCCTAAAACCCAAAACCCTAAACTTATGTGTGTATTACTTAGGCACGGCCCCAACTCAGTAATAATAGCTGAGTAATATTCAGAATATAGATATAGTAGGACCTTAGTAGTAGCCCTGTTATAGACTCTTACTGTATGGGGGCCGTACCTAATGTATTACAATCTGTTATGCACCTTCCTTCTTGATCACTTTAGCCTTGAACCCAGAGTCCCTCCTGAGCTGAATCCCCTAAGGCAGTAGATCTCCAAAGCCTTATGGGTGGTTGTCAGAATTATGGTCCCTTTTTGGATACCCTAAATATTAGGTGCCGTATTATAAGCGGGACCCAAAAAGGGACCATAATTTTGACAACTACCAAAATGGAGGGGATGGACGTATGTACAAGTGATGAATGATACTACACTTCGTGTAGAAGCCCCAATCCCCAACCCGCCAGTCAAGTATTTTGAGGCCCGTACTTGTTAATTGTATTCATGCATACATATCCATATGCAGGATACCTTTATAAACATACTATATATGTACATGTACATATGTATAGCATATTCAGATGTTTGTATGCATAAGCACCTCATGTTGATGATCCGCCCAGGATGGTTTTGGAGGTCAAGCAGAAAGCTCTCGCCCTGCTTGAGCAGAGAGTGGAGAAAGGGTCGCAGGGAATGGAGGGCATGGTTTTAGGGTCAGCGGGTTTAGGATTTAGGGGTTTAGGGGCTAAGGTTTAAGGTTTAGGGTAACATATGGGCAAATACACAGCAAAAGTACCCACCGTATTATCGGTACATAATTATGCCTGAATATGTATGAGATTTGGTAAGGTTTTGTTGCTCCTGCTATGCGACAGTATATCCGAGCACACTTTGCGAATTAAGAGCCAGCATATGATGACCCCTGACGAATTTCAACAAGATCTCGTAAGTCAGCTTCGGGCCTTTAATCCCTAAGCCCTAAACCTGACAGGGTTTCAGACCTTCTAGGTAAAAAAGGCTCTGACTGAGAGAAAGGCGTTTAAGGGTCAATAAGCACCGGGTCCATGCGCCTTCTCAGGCTTTGCCAGGGTTTATCGTGTCTCGTAATGGGAGTTTCCGAAAATTATAGGGATACCTTATTTTGGGTGTCCTTATACTAAGGATCCTACCAGTTGGGGTACTATATTGGGGTCCCCTATTTTCGGAAACTCCCTAATAGTTTTGCTAGGCAGTTCTGGGGTTTCTGGGATCCTGTAGGGTTTGCTATGGGGTTTCATAGGCTCCATGTGGCCCTGGGTTCGACCTGTTTATCTACAATATGTATATGAATATATACATATACATATACTTATACACTGCGAAGTATGTGCGCTGGCTTTAGAACACCTCTTAGCCCTGTCGTACACATAGGAAAAATCGACCCACAGCGGCCAGAGCGGTTTAGGGGGTGGGGCTCTGGCTTCGGGGTTTAGGGATTAGGGTTTAGGGTTTAGGGTTTAGGGATTCTATAGCCTCCTTAGGAATTATTTTTGCATTTTGGTTCATATAAAACCCAAGAGAACATTAAACATATTGTGTTTTTTTTTGCGGTTTCTACGGGGGTATGGGGTTATATAAGGGTGTCAGAGTTGCGGGGATCGGGCCGCTTCCAGGTTCGGTAAACCAGGGTCTCCTTAGGATTTTTTCTGTTTTTGTTCATATAAAACTCAAGGCAATATCAGACATGTATTTTGATTATGGTTCTAAGGGGGGTGCAGTAAGAGGGTTCCGATTCGAGACCTAGAACGCCGGAGAAAGCTCAGCGGCCCAGGTTCGGCCCGGACCGCCCAGCGATGCGCACCGTGACCTTATGGCAAGACAAGGCACGCAATTCACATGTGAGTCGGCAGTTGCTGTGGTCAGCTATTTACGTAATAAGTAAGTAGGTTAGCTCTTCAGTTAGCTTGTTCATTGCTGAGCAAAATGTTAGAATTAGTTGCTTGAAGAAGTAGTGAAAATGAGTCAGTACACTTGTTATCGCAGTAGCCATTTACATGAACAAATCAATGATCAATTAGTTGACTAGTTCACTAACAAGGACCTGCAAATCATGATGCCAGTCAACCGTGAGTGCATATGGTCTAGTTCCCTGTGCTGTGTTATAATGAGTCTCTGGATGCGTGAGTATGTATTATTCGTATACATATTGGTATATATATTATATATATATATATATATGCAGACTGTACATACGGACATAGGTATGTACATGTGTATACGCACCTACATACACAGCTAACCGCATCCTGCTCGCCCTCCCTCTCTCTCTCTCTCTCTCTCTCTCTCTCTCTCTCTCTCTCTCTCTCTCTCTCTCTCTCTCTCTCTTTCTTTCGCTCTGAGGAAAACTATATGCATACATACCTGCAGACGGACAGAGAAAGACAGACAGACAGACAGTAACTATGTATGTATATATACATATGTATATTTACATGTACATCACATATGTGGCAATATGTGGCAGATATGTCTGTATATATGCTAAATTCCTTCGTAAGCTTGTGCTCGATGACCCTCTGCCTGATTGTTGTTTTCTTGGGTTGGGCAGGCTTGCGGTGTTAAGCTCGCCAGTGCTGTTGTCCTCATTTTCCGCATGTTGCTGCAGTCGTATGGAGTTTTAGGAATTCGAATTACCTTGTTTTGAGGATCTTACTATATATATATATATATATATATACATACCCTAAAAAAAACCAATTATTCTCTGAAACCGTTCTGGATTTTGGGTTCTGGGCTGAAGTGTCCGCGAAGGTTCCCGAGAGGGAGAAATGGAGCAACTGCATCTGGAGCTGCTCGGCGTAACGTGTGGGTTTGGGGTTTAGGGGTCCGTTCAAAGGGTTTCTTAAAAGGGTTCTTATCAGGGTTACTGCAAGGGGTATTATAAGGATTTACTGTAGGGGGCCCTTTTACTTCCCTACTTATGATCTTAGTATAATGGGCACCAAAACCCTATTCTAATTATTAAGGCTCCTACATTATGGGTTGGGTGGGGCTTTGTGGCTTGCTGAGGTTCGAAGCGCAAGTTGACATTCATTCAGGGCTTTTCCTAAACACTTTGCCCTGCGACTCCAAGTACGATCCGGAGGCCTAGGACTTCGGGATTCACTCAACATTACCTGCTTTGCCCTGTTTCGTTGGGTTTAGGGTTTAGGGTTTTAGGGTTCCCTAAACCCTAAACCCTTAACCATGGTATCAATGCTGATGCAGAGCGCTCTTCACACGGGAAGCACGCACTGGACGAACTTCCGTCACAGCAAGACTCCCATGGGTACATGGGATTAAGTGGTTCTGAATGTCCCGACCTTGCTTCTACAAAAGATGAAAAGCCTTGTTGTTAGTGTGTTGATTACTATAGTCGACAGTGTTGTTGTGTGTTTTCTGCTGTTATTGCTTTTTCTTGCTGTTCTCAGAAATGCTGCTATTGTCATTATTATTGCTAGTATGCTTATGAATACTTATCCTAGTTTTCGTCTTATTTTTCATAACTAGGATTATTTGTGAGATTGCTATCTACGTTCGCAGTAGTGTTAAGTTACTTATTACTTTTACTATTAGCATTAGGAGAACAACATGATTCGCATGCTTTCCATGTTGTAAGAGCTGTTGCAGACGGAAAGCTCCGTCAACCTCAGCTGGAATACTACTGAGGGTCCGTTCAACCCGAAACAAGCCCAGGCCGTTAGCCCACCAAGCTGTGTATTGGATCTTCCCTTCGGGGAACCTAACAGCTCCTTTTCAACGAGGACACCACAACGACATCCGAATTTCGTGCGAACTGCTCGTTGCACAGCAACTCCTTAACTCCAAACGCTGCACCCCTAAACCCGCTTCCTGGAACCAAAGTAGAGAGCTGGGACGACGTAGCATCAATCTGGGCTCGAAAATCGGCAGAGTTCAGGGCTCACAGGGTCTATCACGGTTTAGGATTTAGCAGTTTAGGGTCTCAGGTCCATTCGAGTGATTCGGATCAAGAGCTTCCCATTACAAGGGTCGATAAAGCCGAAGCTTTGTTCAGAAGATATCCTTTGAGGCATTGCCTTCAAGCCAGACGGGACGCAGATCATCGTTGCGGTGGGGGGCTCAATTTATGCTTCCCGCGCCCCTGCCTCTCATGCAGCTGTTCAGTTGCGAAGAATGAAGAGTTGACATGCGGGTGAATAGAGACAGAGAAGCTTGTTGTTCTCTCTGCTTCTGTCTTTGCCTCTATGTAGTTGTTGCATGGACAGACAGAACCGCCAATGCACTGAGACGATGTGTACTCATACTGTTCTCTATCCCCTGGACTCTTAAGGTCGAGCCCGAAATCATAGACCCCTACACACCAAGCCCCAAAACCCTTACCACCGAAAAACCTTGTGTACAACCTGTTTGCAGCTCGGAATGAGGTCGGGAGCTACGAAGAGTACTGAAAACCCTGCGTCTGAGAAGAACGAACCTCATAGGGATCCTTAGGGGTGTAGGGGGGAGGGGTGTAGGGGACTATATTTCCTTAAATAGGCCTTATTAGTCCTTATTATGGGCCTTAAGGCCCCCTACCCCCCCTCCCCCTACACCCCTAAGGATCCCTATGAAAGAACAGAAGCACCCGTAACCTACCCTGAGCTACGGCCATTGTCATTCAGGGTTTAGGAGGCAAAACCCAGATCAAGGGTCGAGGTTAGGGAATAGGATAGGACTTGTGGTAAGTAGCACTCGACAAGATATGCAGGTCATCAAGGTAAACCCTGAGAAGCCTGTATAATCCGGTTTTTGCCAGTGTGAAAAAGACCAGTGTCACAACCTTTCCAACTCTACAAACACGATCATAGAACACATTGCAACGCCCCCAAGCAGTATCCTAGACTCCTGTACCCTAAACCCCAAACCCTATAAACCCTAAAGCCCTAAACCCCAAACCCCTAAAGCCTAATCCTTATACCCTAAACCCTAAAGCGGATTCATGACAGGATCTGTACTAGTGTAGGCCGAAATCCGACCGGACCTTGTGCAGAAAAGGCCCCATGGCACTCTTAAAAAAAGAACATTATGCCCTAAACCCCAAACCCCTAAAGCCTAATCCTTATACCCTAAACCCTAAGTCCTAAACCCCAAACCCCTAAAGCCTAGTCCTTATACCCTAAACCCTAAAGTCCTAAACCCCAAACCCCTAAAGCCTAATCCTTATACCCTAAACCCTAAAGTCCTAAACCCCAAACCCCTAAAGCCTAATCCTTATACCCTAAACCCTAAAGTCCTAAACCCCAAACCCCTAAAGCCTAAACCTTATACCCTAAACCCTAAAGTCCTAAACCCCAAACCCCTAAAGCCTAAACCTTATACCCTAAACCCTAAAGTCCTAAACCCCAAACCCCTAAAGCCTAATCCTTATACCCTAAACCCTAAAGTCCTAAACCCCAAACCCCTAAAGCCTAAACCTTATACCCTAAACCCTAAAGTCCTAAACCCCAAACCCCTAAAGCCTAAACCTTATACCCTAAACCCTAAAGTCCTAAACCCCAAACCCCTAAAGCCTAAACCTTATACCCTAAACTCTAAAGTCCTAAACCCCAAACCCCTAAAGCCTAAACCTTATACCCTAAACCCTAAAGTCCTAAACCCCAAACCCCTAAAGCCTAATCCTTATACCCTAAACCCTCAAGCCCTAAACCTCCTCGGTTCCCCTTCTGCAGCCCTTACAGCGATAGGCTGGCAACCGGGTCTTGGTGTACGACGCCACAGATGGAGATCTTGCTTCTTTGGCTACGGATTAGGGTCTAGGGTTCAGGGATTAGGGTTTAGGGATTAGGGATTGGGGTTTAGGGTTTAGGGGCAACGGTTGGGATTAGGGTTTAGGGAGTAGGGTTTAGGGTTAACGGTTGGGTTGTGCGGTTTAGAGTCTAGGGTGTTTAATCGTTTTGGAGTGTAGAGTCGAGTTTAGGCGTTTCATTAGGGGTTTAAGGGTTTGGGGGTTTACAGCGCTTAGGGTATAGGGTTGGGTTTCGGGGTTTAGATTCTTGGGTGTTTAATGTTTTGGTGTTTAGAGTCTAGGGTTATTAATTAGGGATTTAGGGTTTGGGGGTTTACAGCGCTTAGGGTTTAGGGTTGGGTTGTGAGGTCTAGAGTGTTTAATTGGGGGTTTACTGGTTTGGGGTGCAGAGTGTTTGATTGGGGGTTTAGGGTTTAGAGGTGTAGCGTTCAGGGTTTGGGTTTTAGAGTATTTAATTAGGGGTTTTGGGTTTTGGGGTTTAGAGCTTTTAATTCGCGGTTTAGGGATCAAGGGTTTAGGGTTGGGCTATGGGGTTTAGAGTGTTTAGGGGTTTACGGGCTTGGGGTTTTTTGGGGCTTCATCAGGGGTCGGAATGGACAGTATTTGTTGATAGGATTTGTGTGAGGTTGGATGAGGGCACTGCAGGGGTTCAACATGAAGTAGGGCTCTAAGCACCTTCGTTTCTAGCCCGGCTATGTTCTATACAGTCTACAGAGGTCTCCCTTTCAAGCCGTGATTCTCGTGTAACACACCCCCGAAACCCTGGTAGACATCGTGACGCCCTTACGCAACTTCTTGGTCCAAAGCCTAACTTTTCGAATTTTTGGCTTTCATGCGGTTGTCTTATTCTGAAACTTTGAACTTTTAAGCCTTGGGGCTTCTCGGAAGTCCCTAAACCCTAAACCCCTAAAATCTGAATCCCTCAACCCCTAAAATCTGAACCCTAAAACCCTAAACCCTAAGCCCCGAAACCCTAAGATAACCGGTGGGGTTCTAGAAGTGACGTGGGAATCTCCGAAAATAGGGGACCCTATAATGTAGTAGCCTAAATAGTAGGATCCTAAATTATAAGGACCCCAAAGATAAGGTACCCCTATTTTCGGAAACTCCCACGTGTGAGGAGTCGTTCGGGCTGTCCTGTACTGTAGGTCGGCTCGTGGGGCTAGGACCCCAAAAAGGACATACAGTAGAAGCCAGAAAGTTGGAATATGATTATCCTAACCCTTCTATGGTAGATTATAGGGTATCCTGCCATGAAACCATATTCCAACTTTCTGGAGTTCCCTATAAGCATAAGCATTTTATGTAAGGATATCCCTACATTAACGGCCGTCATTATAAGGGGACTTTTTCTGGGATATACCTATCCTGATTGTTGCTTATGTGTTTTTTTGGGGCGCTAACATCTTCACGTGCATGATATGGCAGCCTAACTAATTACAAGCACTATGCTGGAGACTCCGTATTACAGCTATAGCAAATGATGTACCCGAAAATCCGAAACAAGTTATTCCGTGACCTATGCTAAGATCTGCCGTGCCCAGGTTCACTCCTTGAAAGGCCACAAGGAGCCGGTTTAGGGTTTAGGGTTTCGGGCAACAGCCCCTCAAACCCACAGCACTACGCAGGACCTAAAAGCCTTTGAGGCCTGGACACGATCCGGTTCGGGTGGAGACATACCTGCACCGCTTGCGGGCGAGCTTCATGTAACTGACATGATGAACGTTCTATTGACTTAGATGATTACAGCGTGTAACATGGTTCAGGGTTTAGGGGTTCAGAAATTAGGGTTATATACAGCTAGAGAGGTTAAGGGTTACTGCTGTCGGCCGGAATGGTTCAGGGCTGATTTCTGTAGGCATGCAGGTATTCCAAAACTCGTTCCTTTCGACGTGTCACGATCGGGGCCAGGTGTTAACACCCAACAGCCCCCAACCCCCCCAAGCCCCAAACTCTACACTCCATCTTTACAAGTTACAACCTTTCAACACGCTCCTGGGAGAACCACCCCCCGTCCTCAAATGGGTAGTTGTCAAAGTTATGTGTAGGTGCCGTATTATATTAGGGACCCAAAAAGGGACCATAATTTTGACAACCAGGTTCTTAGACCGTACAAAATGTCGTGAACAACCATAGAGCCCTGTACGACTCCCCTAAACCCGGAGCCCTTACCCCTTTGCCAGGACCCTCATAGAACCCTTATCCCTATCCCCTAATCCGTGTCAAGCCCGCAACCCCTGGACGATCCCAAAGGATCCCAGGTCCAGTTATGGGGCAAGTTATTTCCTATTACGTAACATCAATGCGCTGCGAGAGATTTAGAATGCCTGAAGGCGTCAGCATTCACCCCGGTTTTGTTCAAGATCTATGTGCTAATGCTAATGGCTCAGATTTCGACAATGTTTGAAAGGGCAGGCATCTGCACGGATCTTGTTCAGCATTTATGTGGCGGGCCTGGCAGCCCAGACTCTAGAGGAGGCTCAATTGCCGCGGAACAAGTTGTAGAATATGAAGCAGATGAAACTGCGAAAGCAGTCAATGCAGTTTGTGCCTTCTTCAAAATGCATCCAGAAGCCATGCGTTTTTTGCAGGCTCGATGAGGCATGTTCGCATGCTGAACAATGGGTTTGTTTTTGCATTTTGTAGCCTTGCTCGAAACGCAAACAGTTGTGTTTCCGGCTTCATGTTTCCATTGTGGTTTTTTTGCCAAACTGCATAAATTTGTAACACATCATCGGCACACAAGGCCTCTGTCAGGACTGCAGCCGGAACCTTACGATCGCAGCAGCGTGTGTGTCGTAGCTCTGTGTTGAAAGTTGTGCTTTTTGCCTTCGCAACTGCAACCACGTGGGGGCTTAAAAGCTTGGGCTTCGGAGACGTTCGGCTTTCCTGCAGTGTGGCTTCTAGGGTACGTGCAGCGATGGCCGACCTGCTGGGCAAGGAGGCCTGCATGTTATTTCGCGCAAGTACTTCGATTGCGGCGTGTTTGCGCTTATGAAAGTTCCAGCCCTTGTCATTGTTTTCACGGCAAAATCCAATGACCGGAGCACCCATGCCTATGACCACGTCCGTGCCACCGGTGCAAACCTGTGGCCACGGCATCCATGCTTGCAGCAGGATATAATGCCCGTACAAGCGCGGCATCCGTTGCGTCCAGCATTCACTGCCTGTGCAAGGCGAAAGCCTTGACGTTCCTGTCGAACATTCATGCCCACAGGGTAACAGTTTCCATGCTCAGTCCGTGTGTTGGCCAGAGTGTCCATGGCTTCGACGACGACGTCAATGCTGCCTGTGCAACACATTGCATGCGACGTAGCACGAGGTGGCCATACCATGTTCGCTTATTGGCAGGTCATGTACGAAAAGTCGGGCGGCGCCAAATCTGTCCAGACCATCTACGCGGTGCGCATTGATGGTCAAGTCCAGCTTGCACCCAGTGTTCCGCCGGCCAAGTCGTGTGTTCATGTCTGTTGGACCTTGAACACCAAACTCTAAACCTCAAGCTCTTAAACATTTTGGGACAGCACTGTGCACCCCGACGCCTCCTCGACTTCAAACCACAGTAATTATCTGTGCCTGGAGTCGAGGTGTGGCGTCATACAACCCAGACACATCACGATGGATCCCATCGAACAGGTGGAAGTTGCTGGAGCGGCTGCATGG